TAGACTTGTAACAGTAAAAATACATGTAGTAAATGAAGAGCTTTGATAGCGCTCTCTTAGAGCACATAACCTGGTTGTAACTATTGTCATTTTAAGCCTCCTAAGTATAACTAGTATGTAACTCCTGTATTAAGGATATGATATTTACACTGGCTATCCATCTCTAATCTCTACATCTCCACCTCTCGTATCATAATTATGCTCTAAACCTCCCCTTTCTTCTCTCATTCACTTTAAATTGATACCCCCTCTATCTCTTTCCCTACACATATATACATCCTCTTCCCTAGCTCCCTCTATCTCCCACTCTCATGCACCTCATCTCTCTCTCTCCCTTCCTCCCTTGATCCTCCCCCCTCACTCTCTTCCCTCCCTCTATCTCCCACTCGCATGCACCTCATCTCTCTCTCTCCCTTCCCAGTCCCTTGATCCTCCTCTCACTCTCTTCCCTCCCTCTATCTCCCACTCTCATGCACCTCATCTCTCTCTCTCCCTTCCCAGTCCCTTGATCCTCCCCCTCACTCTCTTCCCTCCCTCTATCTTCCACTCTCATGCATCTCATCTCTCTCTCTCCCTTCCCAGTCCCTTGATCCACCCCCTCACTCTCTTCTCTCCCTCAATCTCCCACTCTCATTCACCTCATCTCTCTCTCTCCCTTCCTCCCTTGATCCTCCCCTCACTCTCTTCCCTCCCTCTATCTCCCACTCTCATGCACCTCATCTCTCTCTCTCCCTTCCTCCCTTGATCCTCCCCCTTACTCTCTTCCCTCCCTCTATCTCCCACTCTCATGCACCTCATCTCTCTCTCTCCCTTCCTCCCTTGATCGTCCCCTCACTCTCTTCCCTCCCTCTATCTCCGACTCTCATGCACCTCATCTCTCTCTCTCTCCCTTCCTCCCTTGACCCTCCCCCTCACTCTCTTCCCTCCCTCTATCTCCCACTCTCATGCACCTGATCTCTCCCTCTCCCTTCCTCCCTTGATCCTCCCCCTCACTCTCTTCCCTCCCTCTATCTCCCACTCTCATGCACCTCATCTCTCTCTATCTCCCTTCCTCCCTTGATCCTCCCCTCACTCTCTTCCCTCCCTCTATCTCCCACTTTCATGCATCTCATCTCTCTCTCTCTCTCCCTTCCTCCCTTGATCCTCCCTCACTCTCATCCCTCCCTCTCTCTCCCACTCTCATGCACCTCATCTCTCTCTCTCTCCCTTCCTCCCTTGATCCTCCCCTCACTCTCTTCCCTCCCTCTATCTCCCACTCTCATGCATCTCATCTCTCTCTCTCCCTTCCTCCCTTGATCCTCCCCTCACTCTCTTCCCTCCCTCTATCTCCCACTCTCATGCACATCATCTCTCTCTCTCCCTTCCTCCCTTGATCATCCCCCTCACTCTCTTCCCTCCCTCTATCTCCCACTCTCATGCACCTCATCTCTCTCTCTCTCCCTTCCTCCCTTGATCCTCCCCTCACTCTCTTCCCTCCCTCTATCTCCCACTTTCATGCATCTCATCTCTCTTTCTCTCTCCCTTCCTCCCTTGATCCTCCCCTCACTCTCTTCCCTCCCTCTATCTCCCACTCTCATGCACCTCATCTCTCTCTCTCCCTTCCCAGTCCCTTGATCATCCCCCTCACTCTCTTCCCTCCCTCTATCTCCCACTCTCATGCACCTCATCTCTCTCTCTCCCTTCCTCCCTTGATCATCCCCCTCACTCTCTTCCCTCTCTCTATCTTGCACTCTCATGCACCTCATCTCTCTCTCTCCCTTCCTCCCTTGATCCTCCCCTCACTCTCTTCCCTCCCTCTATCTCCCACTCTCATGCACATCATCTCTCTCTCTCCCTTCCTCCCTTGATCCACCCCCTCACTCTCTTCCCTCTCTCTATCTTCCACTCTCATGCACCTCATCTCTCTCTCTCCCTTCCTCCCTTGATCCTCCCCTCACTCTCTCCCTCCCTCTATCTCCCACTCTCATGCACATCATCTCTCTGTCTCTCCCTTCCTCCCTTGATCATCCCCCTCACTCTCTTCCCTCCCTCTATCTCCCACTCTCATGCACATCATCTCTCTGTCTCTCCCTTCCTCCCTTGATCCTCCCCTCACTTTCTTCCCTCCCTCTATCTCTCTCTCTCATCTCTCACTTCCTCGATCCTCCCCTCACTCTCTTCCCTCCCTCCATCTCCCACTCTCATCTCTCCCTTCCTCCCTTGATCCTCCCCTCACTCTCTTCCCTCCCTCTATCTTCCACTCTCATGCACATCATCTCTCTCTCTCCCTTCCTCCCTTGATCCTCCCCCTCACTCTCTTCCCTCCCTCTATCTCCCACTCGCATGCACCTCATCTCTCTCTCTCTCCCTTCCTCCCTTGATCATTCCCTCACTCTCTCCTCCCCCCTCTATCTCCCACTCTCATGCAGCTCATCTCTCTCTCTCCCTTCCTCCCTTGATGATCCTCCCCTCACTCTCTCCCCCCCCTCTATCTCCCACTCTCATGCAGCTCATCTCTCTCTCTCCCTTCCTCCCTTGATGATCCTCCCCTCACTCTCTTCCCTTCCTCTATCTCTTACTCTCATGCACCTCATCTCTCTCTCTCCCTTCCTCCCTTGATCCACCCCCTCACTCTCTTCCCTCCCTCTATCTCCCACTCTCATGCACATCATCTCTCTCTCTCCCTTCCTCCCTTGATCCACCCCCTCACTCTCTTCCCTCTCTCTATCTTCCACTCTCATGCACCTCATCTCTCTTTCCCTTCCTCCCTTGATCCTCCCCTCACTCTCTTCCCTTCCTCTATCTCTCACTCTCATGCACATCATCTCTCTCTCTCCCGTCCTACCCTCCCTCCCACCCCCTCTCTCTGGATTTAAACCTAATAAATACTGAATTCAGAAATTCAGAAATACTTTAATCTTTGGCACATACTCAGTACACATAAACATAGTAAGCACAAACATGATTGTTATGAACATATTTCAAATGTAATGAAATTTTAATTTCAGTTAATTTGGTATTCTTTGCATATCTTATACATACAAGGCTGTAAACTTACAAACTATAAGATCATCTGATTCGAATAACAGTGATCAGATTTTCTTCTCGAGGTTGGAAACATTCTTTTATTGCTACATCTTTCTCATAAAAATCATGTATCTTCAAAGAATATTGATTTATACACTGATAGAAAGTATGTCCTACAGTAAACACACACTGGTATGCTGGTTTGTATTAAAAATGGTGATTTTTACATTTTCAACATGTCACAGAGTTCAGGATTTCAATGCATATCTCCCTCCTATACAAGAAGCTCTTGGCATCAAGGTTAATATCAAATCACATGACCACTTTGTTCATACATGCAGGCCTTCAGCATAAGGCACACAAAACTTGGTACACATCTACTCATAGGCCTGATAGTTAAAATGGAAGAACAAAAATACAACAATGCTATTAAGTACTGGAATAATCCTTGAATTGTGGTATGTATATACATGTAGTTGATCCAGATGTACATTATCACAACTTCACTCATTCCTGCCAACTTTTCACTTCAGGAAGATAGACAAATTCTCTTTCTGTTTATAGTATATACAAAGCATAAGGCACACAAAACTTTGGTACACATCTACTGATAGTTCAAATGGAAGAAGATGGAGAAAAAAATATATATTGTCAAGTACTGGAATAATTCCTTAATTGTAGAGTTGGGCCAGATAAACATTATCACAGTTTCGCTCATTCCAGCCAACTTTTCACTTCAGGAAGATACAACAAATTTTGTCTCTGTTTATAGTATATAAAAAATCATAAGGCACGCAAAACTTGGTACATATCTACTGATAGTTAAAAATAGAAAAAGGCCCCAAAAAAATCAAGTACTAGAATAATCCCTGAATTGTATATGTACATACATGTAGAGTCGGGCCAGATATACATTATCACAATTTCACTCATTCCTACCAACTTTGCACTTCAGGAAGATAAACAAATATGGTCTCTGTTTAATATATATAGTATATACATCACTAATTACTCTGAGATGAGTGACTCCTGATAGGAACGAATGAAGTTGAGAAAATCTGAGTAAAATGAGTTTCTTCCCAGTACATGTAAACTTTCGGGGCCCAACTGTGTAAACGCAACTTGTGTGAGCCTGACCAAAATGCATACAATCAAGTACAACATGGTAATTTAAATACTTAATAAAATTACAAACACATTACAAAACAACCTCAAAGTCAATATTGCATTCTGAGGACTCTTCCATAAAAAGTTGAAATCAAAATTACATTTTCAACCAATTGGGGTCATGTATTTAGTAATTGTGTTTACTTTTTGAGTAATGTTGTGTTTGACATTGCAACTTTTGAAGCAAGAGGGCCCTCGATCGTAACGAAATCCAATTTCCAGACAAACTAGCTCAAAGGAACTCTCGGTCCTGTTTCATAAAACTTGCTACCAATAACAAGTGTCACATTTTCTATGACAAATTGGCTCTCAACCATTCAAATGCAACAATTTCAATAGCTTATAATAGTTATTGCAACTTGTTATTGATAACAAGTTTCATAAAACAGGGCCCAAGTTTCAAATTTCATTCTTGCAACTTACTTCTATGAGTGCAGACAAAAATAAAAGATTTCAGTAAGTCATCCTTCACAGCTATTTTTTTCTGAATTGCTAATGATCAGGCGTTACACCTTGGGATATTAAGTAACACAACTGGTTGACCAGCTGCTTGTCATGGTGGTAAGAACAGAATTGTTTTCAGCCCAGTGGAACAAACGTTTACGTTGTTTGACAATATTATGTCAGCTATATAATTTTATCATGAAATTGAAAAATGTATTGATCAAACAAATCTAACAGAAAAGAAATTCATGAAAAAGTGTTTTTATTTCGACCATCAATTTTGTTGTTATTGTGTTTACGTTTTAAGTCATAATCTGTCATATAAAATAAATTGAATGCAGTATATGATTGATTTTTGCTTTGGTAAAATTTTTTAATATAAATTTTAGTTTGACCAAGTGATGTAAATATGGAATTTTGCATGATTGTAGATGTAAAGGAATCCTGTGGATGAGGGGAAAAAATGGATGAGGGTCAACATTTGATCCTATGATCCAGGCTATACTTTATGAAATATATAGGGTTATGGTCGCACTTTATTTTGAGTTCAGGTAATAATGTTTACGGTTAGGTACACGTAATATGATATATTTATTGTGTATGAATATAACGTTGCTATGTTGTGATATGAAGTTCATTGAATTTGCTGTTTCATTTCTAGTGTTAAATATTATAATTTTATGTTTACAGTAATATGTAAGGCCTGAAGTTGAAGTTAACATTTTGGTAAGTGTAGGAAACCGACGCGGAACAACTGTCGTACAACCGACTCGGAGATAGTTCTATATGATCCAGTAGCACATAATCAAACTGTGCAATCTGGATGGTTGTGCACTGCCATTGTGTGGCTCTCGAAGGTATTCTGATGGCTGTGATGTCCATCATAGGTCATCCTCCTCGTCTGAGACGTAATCCTCCTCTTCTGAGGTTGAAGCTGGAATTTTGGTTAGTGTAGGAAGCCGACGCAGAAAGACTGTCACAGTAGCAAGTGTCGTAGAACCCTCTTGGAGATAGTTCTATACGATCGAGCAGCACATAATCCAGCTATGCGATCTTGATGGTTGAAGGTATTCTGATGGCTGTGATGTCCATCATAGGTCATCCTCCTGGTCCAAGACGTCATCATCCTCGTCCGAGACGCTAACCTCCTCGTCCGAGTCTGTAAAGTCAAATGCATCCTCCCTGCATTGATGTTGAGGAAAGAAGATAAAATATAGGTTTGGGGGATAGGATCTGGGCCCTGTAACATATGAAGTGACTAACAATCCAATCAATTGTAAAAATCTCCACTTTTGCTGCAATTAATTGTTTAAGCATTGTATTTACCTGTAACGAAGAAGATACATGTATCAGGGAAACCTGCATGTACAATCAAGATTTTGGATAATATTAATAGTAACTTTCAATGTTACACGGCCTAGGCACCGAAGGCCTGAGGTGGTATTCTGAAATTCATGCTTTCTTTTATGCTAGTGAAAAAATGTTTCCTGTTAAAGCAAAGATAAATAAGAAAAGTCTTTGATTAATTCTCGATATCACCAATATATTACAAATACCAGCATGTTACATTCAGGCCTCGTTTCAAATGCACTCTGGGATAGTTTGGTGACCAAGTCGCCGGCTGTGATTGTGTGTCTGTGTACTCTATTTTCTGACAGTACTCACAGTGATTTATCAACGATTCTCAACGCTTTCAAGAGTGCATCATTACTTAAAACGTATGAAATATTTACACATACTAAAATTAACATATTTGGTGTTGTGATTGGAAAGAGCAAGTAGGAGCGTAGAAATAATAATGTCACCTTTCGTTGGTTATGTTCATTGGCAAGAGTGAAACCTTGTCTGAAATATTAAAGGATGTGACTACATTAAAGGGTTCGTTGGCTTTTTAGATGACCAATGGACATACTCCATTCTGGTGGGATATTCTAAAGTTAAGCCTATCATTTTCTTGAAGTTTCAAGAAGGTCCTTCCATTGTTTTAATCTAGACATCGATAAGATTTGGAGGATCTTTCTCTTGTTTGTCATTGCTGCCGTCACCAAAAACAAAGAACCTAGATGTAGCTTTCAGAGACGTACCTATGTACATTGGCTCAAAGTTACTTCAGAGAGGCTTCATCTGTGCATTTTGGGCATATTGGCGATAGCGAGAATTTCTATGTAAAGCTGGCTATGTATTTGTACAGTTTAGAGATGAATCTGCACCAACACCTACAATTAGTCCCATTCCATGCAACCTCAATTTATGATAATTAACATAATTTTCACTTTTTGAATGTAGCAGACGTAATAAGTATATTGCACAGAATATAACCCAAGAAAACTAAAACTTATGTTTATTGGGGACACTTGTATATATTGTTCACAGCCGTCAGGCTGAATAGGATAGGTGCCTAACCGGCCTCAACAAGAGCAGATAGATCCTGTAATGAACGAATAAAACATCCACCATTTTTTTTATACGAAAAATATCCTAGATCCTTGTTATTTGATTTAAAGAGACTTTCAAGATTGTTCTTAGTAATTATCGCTGATAAATAAATCCAAATTTAATAGGCTTAATTTAGCGCCAACACAGGGATAGGGGCACTTACCTCTTCAAGCATCAATGCACAGTGATATACATGTATTAATCCACACACAGTATATAAAGCATATTAAACTCTACATGCCCTGCTGTGGAAAGATCGTTAAATAGTACTAGAAACTATAGCATGCTTTTTCATGGAAAAACATGTAATATTCTCAGTAAAGGAATCATACATGACCCTGCTTAACCAATCATTTGATTAGGATCTAGGAGTAAGTTGTATAGCAATAAAATTAATATGTAATTCATTATGTTTAATAGTTCACTTACCGTCGAAAGTCAGTGAGTGACTGCAGGAATGAATCAAAATCCGCTTGGGGAACTCCATTGAACATGAAATTTCCATTACTGATTTGAGGAAAAGAATCCTGAAAAGAAATGTATGAGCATGATTGGTGATAAAGATTCATGTAGTTTCCCTCCATTCCAGTCTGGCTGACATACTTTAACATACATGTACATACCAGGTCAGTACTCTCTCTGGCATATAGACTTAGTATCCTTATTATGTTGACAACTCCTATATGCCCCCCCACCCCTCCCCACCACATACACACACATACAAAAAAGCTATGTTGATTGAACTGGTCAATATTTTCAACAGAACTTTATGCCGACACCCCATCCTCCCTGATCATGCACATGCCCAAAACAAAAAGAACAAAAAAACAACAACAAAATCTGTGCTTAAAATAAGTACACTGTGATCAAGATCTCCATCCTTGTTTAGTGACTATTCAATCTGACGTATACTCTCAGACCCATGATGACATTATTCAAACCTTATGAATTGATTTGAACTATTTGTATTATTAGTCTTTAGAGTACTTCAGTGATTTGTTTATACTGAAATTGTATTATTGCGTAACTAGTAACACAACACTCTCCCCCCCAAAAAAACAAACAAACAAACTAGATGGAATTCGACTCCGCGCAGTCGAAAATGATGCCTCCGTCAAAGAGCAATTTTACAAACCAAAACAGAAGAAATTTTTCGAATTCAAGTTCAATTGTAATTCATTAACAGGTTCTCAGAATATCGTGATTACAAGCAATTTCTCATATACATATATGACCCTTTGATCTTTGACCTCATGACCCTAAAATCTACTCAGTTCATTGGCTCTGCAAGATGTCCTGAGTTAAATAGTAATCCATCTGTCAGTTCTAATGAGAATGCGTTCACAAGCTATTTTTGCATACATAATGAGCCCATGACCTTTGACCTTATGAACGAAGAATCTACTCAGTTCATTGGCTCTGCAAGTAACATACATGACCTAATTTTGGCAGGAATCCATCAATCGGCTCTTGAGATAACGCGATCACGAGCTGTGTTTGCATACATAATGTGCGCTGTGGCCTTTGACCTTTGACCATGTGACCCCAAAATCTAATCAGTTCATCGGCTCTGCAAGTAACATACATAACCAAGTTTGGCAGCAATCCATCAATCGGTTCTTGAGATAACGCGATCACGAGCTGTTTTTGCATACATAATGAGCTCTGTGACCTTTGACCTTTGACCTCGTGACCCCAAAATCTAATCTGTTTATTGGCTCTGCAAGATACATACATGACCAAAGTTTGGCAGGAATCCATTAATCGGTTCTTCAGATAACGCGATCACGAGCTGTTTTTGCATACAAAATAAGCCCTGTGATCTTTGATCTTTGACCTCGTGACCCCAAAATCTAATCAGTTCATCAACTCTGCAAGTAATATACATGACCTAAGTTTGGCAGGAATCCATCAGTCGGTTCTTGAGATAATGCGATCATGAGCTGTTTTTGCATACATAATGAGCCCTGTGACCTTTGACCTCGTGACCCCAAAATCTAATCAGTTCATCCGCTCTGTAAGATACATACATGACCAAAGTTTGGCAGAAATCCATGAACCGGTTCTTCAGATAACGCGATCACAAGAACGGGAAGTACGTACGTACAGACGTATGTACAGACGTACAGACGGACGGCCAGACAACCCTAAAACATAATGCCTCCGGCTACTTCGTAACTGAGGCATAAAAACTCCTTAAACTCATCTCCAATGCTGCATGTGTACCTGAATTCATCATGGCATGGATAAAGAGTACAAACACACATACATACCTGTAAGGTTGACGCCTTTGCATTCAGTGCAGAATAGAACTCCTCCTGGAAATCCTTTCCATCTAGTAGCAGGTCAGTCAGGTTTGGCATGGAACACAAAGCATCCACTAGGTAATGTGTACAGGCTGATGTTGGACACCTAATGTGTACAAGCCTGACAGTTTGGACCTACATGTATAGAAACAGTGATTCATGAAAGTACATTACCAGAGTACAAGTTTCATTGAATTACTGCAAATATAACTGGGTGCTCTGATATACATGTATGTGTATGGCTATGCTTGGGTGACAAATGCAATGGGCTTTATATAGTCAAATATAGGATTTGGATAAGGGCTACAAATAGGTTTGAGCTCAGGTTTAGTGATAGGAATACTTTTTGGTGCAGGGATCAAGTTAAGAATTTGGTTAGTACAGGATGGAAAGCACAGAAAAATTGTTGATGGGCATGCGTTCAAATAACAGGAGGATCGACAAACACAGCCATAGTGCATTTTCTCACTTCATAGTGATACAAACAGTGATTCATTCAAGGAATATATCCTAACAGGTACCCACTTATATTACTTCACCTAGGACAAGTTTGGCAAATGTAGATTAATGTCTTGCCAAACAACATGAGTGCTACGTATGGCAGGGATTCGAACCCCATACCTCATGGTTCATATCCATACAGTGACCTATCCAATAGACCACGAACACCTCTACATGAACAATGGTTGATAACAATTATTTTAGAATGTATAATACCCATAAACGGGTAACTGATTTTAATAAATAGAGATGTATTTGTCTTTGGAGAATTAAATATAAAACAAAGAAGAAACTATCACTTTTTTTTTATTATTTAGACACATTTTTGACATTGCCTTACTGCTATAATACATTTGTGACTAAATTAATGCATTATACATGAATGTGTATGTAGAGTGTGTACATGTAGATTTGCTTAAAATAAGTACTGTGATCTAGATCTTCATTCTTGTTGAGTGAGTATTGAATCTGAAGTATACTAAGATACTACTTTCAGACCCATGAGGATATAATTCCCACTATATGAATTGCTCTGAACTTAAAAATATGAAAATTACAAACAAAATCATTTGTATCCACTAGTCTTTAGAGTCCTTCCGTAATCTGTTTATACTGAAATTGTTTTACTGCATAAGTAGCGACATGACACTCTCCATCCCCCAAAAAAGCTTACTTAAAAACTTTAAGTTAGTCTTCATTAAACCAAAATATCTTTTCTGAGGCAATCCTTTAAAAGTGATGTTTTTTGCAGAACATCATATTTTTAACTCGAGCCATCTGAATTCTGTATCTTACACTGCACATGAAAACCCCTCTTTTTATAATACTGTTCCTTTGTCTGCTAAGACTATTATACATTTTCATATAAAAAAAATTACACGTTGAAAAATTATTGACTGCATGTTGTTAAAATATCATACTAGTAACTCCTAATACTCATCTCCACTGCTGCATGTGTACATGAATTCATCATGGCATGGATACAGAGTACAAACACACATACACACCTGTAAGGTTGACGCCTTTGCATTCAGTGTAGAATAGAACTCCTCCCGGAAATCCTTTCCACGTAGTATCAGGCCAGTCAGGTTTGGCATGGAACACAAAGCATCTACTAGGTAATGTGAAAAGGCTGTTGTTGGACACCTAACACGATCAAGCATGACAGATTGGACCTACATGTATACAAACAGTGATTCATACAAGTACATTACCAGAGTACACGTTTTCATTGAATTACTGCAAATATAACTGGGTGCTCTGATATACATGTATGTGTATGGCTATGCTTGGGTGACAAATGCAATGGGCTTTATATAGTCAAATATAGGATTTGGATAAGGGCTACAAATAGGTTTGAGCTCAGGTTTAGTGATAGGAATACTTTTTGGTGCAGGGATCAAGTCCCCCCCCCCAAAAAAAAAAAAAGCTTACTTAAAAACTTTAAGTTAGTCTTCATTAAACCAAAATATCTTTTCTGAGGCAATCCTTTAAAAGTGATGTTTTTAGCAGAACATCATATTTTTAACTCGAGCCATCTGAATTCTGTATCTTACACTGCACATGAAAACCCCTCTTTTTATAATACTGTTCCTTTGTCTGCTAAGACTATTATACATTTTCATATAAACAAATTAACACGTTGAAAAATTATTGACTGCATGTTGTTAAAATATCATACTAGTAACTCCTAATACTCATCTCCACTGCTGCATGTGTACATGAATTCATCATGGCATGGATACAGAGTACAAACACACATACACACCTGTAAGGTTGACGCCTTTGCATTCAGTGCAGAATAGAACTCCTCCTGGAAATCATTTCCCTGTAGTTTCAGGTTAGTCAGGTTTGGCATGGAACACAGAGCATCTCCTAGGTAATGTGAAGAGGCTGATGTTGGACACCTAACATCTTTAAGCCAGACAGAGTGGACCTACATGTATACAAACAGTGATTCATACAAGTACATTACCAGAGTACACGTTTTCATTGAATTACTGCAAATATAACTGGGTGCTCTGATATACATGTATGTGTATGACTACGCTTGGGTGACAAATGCAATGGGCTTGATATAGTCAAATATAGGATTTGGATCAGGGCTACAAATAGGTTTGAGCTCAGGTTTAGTGATAGGAATACTTTTTGGTGCAGGGATCAAGTCCCCCCAAAAAGCTTACTTAAAAACTTTAAGTTAGTCTTCATTAAACCAAAATATCTTTTCTGAGGCAATCCTTTAAAAGTGATGTTTTTTGCAGAACATCATATTTTTAACTCGAGCCATCTGAATTCTGTATCTTACACTGCACATGAAAACCCCTCTATTTATAATACTGTTCCTTTGTCTGCTAAGACTATTATACATTTTCATATGAAAAAATTAACATGTTGACAAAATATTGACAGCATGTTGCTAAAATAGCATAACTCCTTAAATTCATCTCCACTGCTGCATGTGTACCTGAATTCGTCATGGCATGGATGTAGAGTACAAACACACATACATACCTGTAAGGTTGACGCCTTTGCATTCAGTGCAGAATAGAACTCCTCCTTTAAATCCTTTCCCTGTAGTGTCAGGCTAGTCAGGTTTGGCATGGAACACAAAGCATCCGCTAGGTAATGTGAAGAGGCTGATGTTGGACGCCTAATGTCAATGAGCGTGACAGTTTGGACCTACATGTATACAAACAGTGATTCATACAAGTACATTACCAGAGTACACGTTTTCATTGAATTACTGCAAATATAACTGGGTGCTCTGATATACATGTATGTGTATGGCTATGCTTGGGTGACAAATGCAATGGGCTTTATATAGTCAAATATTGGATTTGGATAGGGACTGCAAATAGGTTTGAGCTCAGGTTTAGTGATAGGAATACTTTTTGGTGCAGGGATCAAGTTAAGAATTTGGTTAGTACAGGATGGAAAGCACAGAAAAATTGTTGATGGGCATGCGTTAAAACAACAGGAGGATCGACAAACACAGCCATAGTGCATTTTCTCACTACATAGTGATACAAACAGTGATTCATTAAAGTACATTACCAGAATACATGTATTTATTGAATGACTGCAAATATAACTGGGTGCTCCAATATACATGTATGTGTATGGCTAAGCTCAGTTGACAAATGTTCTGGGCTTTATTAAGTCACAAATATATATAGGATCCGCATGAGAGCTGCAAATAGGCTTTGAGCTTAGGTTTAGTCTTACGGTTTATTATAGATTTTAGTGCTGGGTTAAGTTCAGAAATCGGTTAGTTCAGGGTAGTGGGCGCAGAAAATGCATCAAAAAAGATTTATAGGACTAACTTTTACTATTATAGCCGTAGTACATGTAACTACTGCGTATTCATCTGAGTAATTGCATCCATCCAAAATATTTATGAACAAAAACAAACACAGGACGCTGAGTAAAACCCAGCTCATCTTGAACATAACTACAATATGAAGGTTACATGCACGTTAACTTGCCAAATAGATTTTCAATTTCATTAATTTACATATACTTCTAGATCAACATGTATGTTTCTCCATATATAACTTTTGTTTACTAGCTGTCATCATGTGATGAGGCTGGTGTGAGGCACTCAACATCATGAAGGCAGAGAGTCTTGATCTGTACAGAAATTGAATGACTGAAATAGGTTTAACCCTATTTAGCCCGGGCTATTTTGAAACTGCATAGCCCGGGGGGGGGGGGGGGGGGGGGGGCTTCTAAGGCCCCCCCCCCCTATGATCTCGACCGTGAAACACCCGATCGTCGCGAAAATTTGCATACATGTCAAGTGAAGTGTATAGAATACTATGGTAATTTCAATTTTTTGAAAAATTCACTCAGCATATTTATCGTAATTTATGCAAATAAGGTCATCAAATTCACATTTTTGCCCATAAATTAGACATTATTCATATTCTAAGCATTCTTTCTCACTACAAATATTTTTAGACCATTTGGAATAATAATACAACACAAAAAATTGAAAAACCAGGGTTATTCCTCATGTTATCTATTGTTTTGATAATTTTTTATGTATTTCTTTGTTTTTTTAACTTACCGTATGTATTTTATTGTTTTTATTGTTTTATTTTATTTCCAACTATAATTCAACTATTTGGACCCAAAAATAAACACCTAAACTATAAACAAGACCAAATAACCAATGTTTTATCTCTTTATTTGAAAAATGAGATTTCCATATGTTTTGTACACAAATCACAAAAATGAGCGATTTTCGGGCTGACATGCAAAGACAAAATGACACGTGACTTCATAATGGTAGGTTTGATTTTCAAAAAATTTCTTTCAAAAGATGCGCAAGACTCGAAAGAAAAAAGTCACAAAATTTCAGTGCAAGATTTTCTTGCGTTAAAAAATTATCGCGTAAAATGTCGAGGGGGGGGGGGACTTCTCAAGCCCCTCCCCCCCCCCCGGGCTAAATAGGGTTAACACTGGTAGATGGATGGGGAGCAGGAATTTTGTAAACATGTGGTCAGAGACCGCATCAATGAAAGGGTCTTGTTGGGCTAGTATTTATTTGCACAGAGTAGTTTTCCCAATATTAGTCCTTTGTATACTTTTATAAGTTAAATCAGACAGTGAGAAGTCAGAATGTGTATTATTTATATGTTTTAAAATACTGAGTACCTTCAGGTGATTTTTATGTACATTATAGTAAGATCAAAAGTGCATGAAAATATAAGGCCTTTGTCAAGAGTCAGGGATAGACAGTCCAATAGGATATGACCATACTGAAGATTCAGGTAAGAGGAAGATCAGGAATTCCTGAGCGTAGGAGCGAATTGCAGTGATTCTACTGTATTTTAGAGGTATGTGAATTAAATGCAAATCTTCTCAGTAAAATATTCAGTCAAGCACCTTTTCATTGTAATTCAAATATTTAGACCAGCATTGCTAAAGATAATATTCTATTAGAGAGTTTAAAGAATGATAATTTTATTTACAAGCGTAAAATGATTATGATGATTATAATAATAGATGTTATATTGTACATGAAAGTAGTCTAGCTATAGAACATATACATTCCTTACTATAATTTTCCTTTGTGGTTCGTATTATGTGGCCTGCTATGTTTTAATAATTTGTATGTACTATAGTTCTGTTGAATGAAGACATAATACCATCAAGGCAACAACAAAATAGCTGAATACCTAGGGGGCAAAACCTTAATTTGGGGGGTTTTGGTCGGGATGTTGTAGGTCGGTCGGTATAAACATGATTAGAGGATCTTCCTGCACAATTTCTAGGTGGACTACCCTGACAATATTTTTCTGGAAAAAAAGATAGTCAATAATTAGAAGATAATTTTGTAACAGAACATCATTTTACCATGCATGTGGTGTCAATGGAAGAAAATTTAATTATCTACAAGATGATACCACATTCATGATGATTGAATTTATTTTACATAATAATAATAATAATAAATAATAGGATAACTATATAGCACCAGTATCCGGCAAGCTCTGACGCTCATGGTGCTTTACGCATATTACCGAGTTATTTCTCCATATTTCAATCACTTTTGAAACTGAAGAATTAAAAATATATAGAAAACCTTCCTAATATTAGTTGAATACGATCTGAAAATTACAGGTTCATTGATTTTTATGTAAAAAAATGTATAGCGTAGTAAAGTTCATTTTGGACAATATGCACAGACCAGTTCCTTGATGATACGTTTAACGTGCGTCGTCATTGCCGCATATCTGTCAGGTTTGCCCTTGCAACTGAAACGTGAATCATCTAATTGCATTCTATCCTTTTTCTTAATGATTGAAGGGACAGTGAACGGTTGGGCTGGGCGATGGGGGAGACACAAGTGGCAGGGGCAATTCATAAATTCCCCCAAAAATTAGTAATTCTGATTTGTAATTAATACAAATTGTGTAAGGTAATTGTAGAATCTCGGTTTTTGTATGACATGGTCAAATAAAACATAGAATCCTGTCTGGATCTACAAATATTTTAATGAAGTTCTATAAATGACTAATCCAGAAAAACAGAATATTCTGGATTATTTGTAAGGGTTGGCAGGTATGTAATATTAGTTGAATATGATCTGAAAATTACAGATGTTTTGCTTTTCATGTAAAAAAAGTTATAGCATAACAAAGTTCATTTTGGACAATATGCAGTTTAGTTCCCTGATAATACATTTAATATGAGTCATCATTGCCGCATACCGTATGTGTCAAGCTTGCAACTGAAACGTGAATGATTAATTGCATTCTTCCCTTTTTCTATAAATGACTAAACAGAGTTGTTAGCAACATCAGAGAGACAGGAAATCAAACATTACAAGTACATTTCAACTAATAGAATGATGAAGAAACTATCAGAAACTTCCTAACCAGCTTGAACCTTTTGGTATGAGGTAGGAATTTCAGTTGCAGGTTTGAGGATGTAGTAAGTTTTGCTAACTCAAATCAGAATATTTTTACTCTTAGCAAACTTTTGGATTATTGATAAAATATTATCTAGCAGCTTATTACAGAATTTCCATATGTAATCATCTGGCATCACTATGGAGCAATCCTGAAGATTCTTCTCAAGGACTCTGTATTAAAACATTACCTGATGTAAATATAAGAGAAAGTGAACCAATAAATATATAGTTTCTTATACTAGTTCCACTTTAACACTTGTAGATTAGAATAAACCTTAATATAATGTAGCATAAATTTTGTTCCATCTTGTGTTTTGGATCACAACACTTAAATCGGATTTGCAACCTTTTGTGATGACTTTACATGTTTGTTACATCCAATGCTCCTGTTAATCCAATACTAATATACCTATTACCCCCATCTCAATGTTGTTTTATAATTGATATAGGTATAAGAGGGTGACATTGACCAAAGCAACCTCATACTAGATGAATTTCAGAATTCCTGGGTCTGTCTTTTAAGATCTTACAAGAATTACAAGAAAGAGTGAAAGTTTGCCTGCTAATGTAAAGTAACATTTCAAAGTTAGGTTTATATGAAATATAAATACAGTGCAACTATTATTCAAATGATACACCCCTCTATATTATAGGTTCCTACAGAAAGATGAGTAACCAGCCAAGAAAACGTGTGGCAGATAGTGCCATGTCCATGAAGCATGTGCCTGCTAAGAAGTCTTCCAAAGATATGAGCACTGACTACACAAAATGCATCATATGCCAACAAGAATCTGTGATAAGCCTATTCTTCATCCAGTTACGTGTGTAACAACATATATGAACAAATTTAAGGCTCTTCACATTCTGGTCGGTCAAAGTTAAACCCTTATGATGTTGTAGATGAGCTGGAAGCTCCTCTTTTCCAGCTCCTGGTCTGTCCACATTCCTCATAGAATCATCCGCGTAAGGTACCGAGACATTCTTGAGGAGCTTGGTGTCGATAAAGGAGATAAATACCGGGCGACCATCTTGAAACATACATTACATGAATACTATAGGTCACATATTTTGGTTCTCAATCAAACCAAAGGTTCAGGATTTATATGTGCTTCCACATTACCACTTGGTGAGGCACTGAAAAAACTGAGGCGCCTAGAAGGAGATGATATCGAGGGAAAACACCATACACTCCTGCAAGCATCAAAGATTCTTAGAGCAGATTGTGAAGTGTAAGAAAAATTCAACTGAGATTTCATTCACATCTGCATACAATATGGTTCCAGACTCACTCACTCTTCAGATGGCCATGCAGACTGAGGACGTTCTGCTTATGTGGCGCCTCGGTAGAATGATCACAACTTCGCAACTGGTGGATGCTCCTAGAGTTTTAGAAGCAGGACTTCCGGGCTTTTCCTCATTCCGTGCTGACCTCCATCCACATAGACAGGCTAGAATCATTGGCTATCTTCCTCTGATCCCATCTTCTCCAACTGACCCTACTGTACTAAAGGAAATGATGATTTGACTTGTCAGGACATCACATGCACGTGGTAACAAATACACAATTATAACTGGAGATCAGGCTACATATGAGCTCGCTGTAGCCATCAGAGACAAGCATCGTAGTGAGTTCAGCAATGTGGTCTTACTGCTGGGTGGCTTTCATCAAGCTCACAACTACATGAAAGCAGTTTGCAGATCCTTAGGGCGGCAGGTGCAGAAGATTTTCTTGTTGCAGCTTGTCTGTGCCCGGAAGGGGCTGCCAAGAAGATGTTTGGTGATAAAGCCGACTACTACCAGGCCATACATGCCCTCAGAATCCTGAGCGAAACTATGTGGCGCCTCTACTAGGAAGCATTCTAGACATGATGGGCAGCAGACAGAGAAACAGATCATTGGCAGCCTGAGGTGGAATCTGTCTTGAAGATGCTCTATGAAAAAGACATCACTGCCACTGAAAAGTTGCAAATGCTTCAGAATTCCCATGAACAGTTATCAGCCCTTCAGGAACTTTTCCCAGAATCAATGGTTGATCAACCAACAGCATTCTTCTGGTCCACCTTCCTGATGTTCTGCATAGATTTAACTACTACCAGCGAGAAGCTGACTGGGTAGGACATGTCTGTGAATCATATTGAATGATACCTTACCTAAAAGCAGCAGGGCATTACAAATATGGGCAGCAGTCTCTGCCTCTCTATCTTGATGAGATGAAAAATCTTCCTAAAACAGCCCCTGATGTACATGAAGCACTTATGGCGGGTGCATTTGTTGCAAGGAGAGCAGATGGCAAGCACAATTGTGTTTCTCCTGACATGCTTCTTGAACAGACAAATGCAGATGCCAAGTAAAGAAGAAAGCGGTCATGACGGAATTACACCTGACCCCGCCGCATGGATAAAATGGGTTTAAACAATTAAAACCCATCACATCTGTCTCTGCACAGTAAATATCGATGCTGCATCTTCTTTCACCCAGCCCTAACAATGAATCTGGTGTATGTCGAGTAACAAGGGACACAGAGATGGTCATCAAGGTAATGGTAGCAGTCGAGACGAATCCATCCAGTGCAACTACAACATCCCTGATAAATGTGTCAACTGGGCAATGTGCTGATTGCACAGTTTAGGACAACTTGAGCAGTGTTAAACAAATAGGCGTGGAGGCACTGTCTCAATCACTGTCCAGTCTTCAGAAGAAGACAAGTATTATGAAGCTGAACACGTTCCACATACAAAACAAGAAACAAAAGAAGTCTGGGCCCACAAGAGCTAAATCAGGGAAGAGTGATGAAGTAACTGCTCTTCTGCGTATGACACAGATCATTGCTAGTGATGGAGAACTAGAGATTGTTGACTTGGTGAGAACCCCAAGGCAAGGGCCATCACTGACGTTGTATCCAGAGAACTAATCAAGGAGGTATTAGGGCCATCACAACATATATTAACACCTCAGCAAGTGATGACTTCAAGGAGTCTGATCTGGGCAATCTCAGAGCATACAAGTTTTTGAACAACAGATCTATACTCTCCTAAGGCTCCTCCCCCCCCCAAACAGGAGACGCATTTTTTCTTCATGTAAAGAGAGCTGCATGCCCTTGCAACGATGATGAATAAGAGAGCACATATTGCCAAGCCTAAAACCCCACCCTGGACAGAATTTGGGTGGAATCTGGATGATCAGCACGTGCTTCCTGTTCGAAGTACCCATCAAGCCTGGCCCGTTTCAATGAAGAAGGCTATATCATGCGGATGTACTGAAGGGTGCAAGAAGAACTGCTCATGTGCTAAGAAGGAAATACCGTGCTACATAGGGTGCCGCTACCAAGGACTATCAAGCAAATTTAGCAGGATGCAGGATATCGAATACGACATCAGAGCAGCGAAAATCAGTGACAGTAGCAGCGACTCAGACAGTGATTAGGAAAGAAAAACAGTTATATCAGAAATAAAGAATATAAGTAGTCGCTTTAAATGTAAATAACTAAGATGTACCAGGGAATCAAGTTTGTCGACAAATTGAATAACATTCTTAAAATGCAAGTTCATCTCTTATTTTCATCTCAATTCCCTTTTCAATTAGATATCATCATCATCAGCCATATTTTTATTTACATTTAAGCAGGTATGTGCACTGTGATTTTAGCCAAAAAAGCTGTTGGCCTGTGAGTGGCAATTTTAAAAATAAATGTCATATTTGATTCATATTACTTTAGAACATTCTCCAAATTGATTCTTTGACTTCACAAACTTTGGTCCGGAATCCAATATACACTACAGACGGTTGTATAGTCAAAACTAAATTGTAAAAAGAAACCCTGACATGATGCAGAAATTTTAAATTGAGGTTAATGCAACATGTCATGAACGTAAAATCAGAAAGAAGTTAAGTGAACACTAAATATAATTCAAGACTTGGCAATAAAAACCTTTTCTGATAGGCTTTAAATTATTTGAACACTTGCATGTATTGACTCCCAATGTGCATTTCCCATTCAATACTCAAGTTTATTATGGTTTATCCCTAAATCAAACATTCAGGGGCAGCAATATCTTGTCATGGCAGGGGGGGGGGGGGAGGAGGTGGGTGGGATATTTAAGGAAGTTTGGCAACTGAAGGGGGAAGGTTTACCCCCCCCCCCCCCTCTCCCACTACAATTTTGTATTTTGTTGTGAGAAAATTTTGCAACATCCTCGTGTAAATCTAACTGGGAGGATGCAAAGTGACAGAATGACAAAAACAATACACATTTTAGTTTTTAAATTTTAAATTCCTGACCCAACTTAATTTTTTTTCTACAACTGTAATCACAGTGATTTTTCAAATTTTCAAGCGATTGATGTTCTGCGTCTTGACAAAGCGCCCCCTTAGGCCAGACTACGGCATTACAATGTGTTTTTTCACTCACCTTGGACTTCTTTCCTTCTTTAGCAAGAACTGCATAGAAGTCACTGTGCAAGGCAGCTTCAAGTAGTGTAACATGCTTTAGAGAGGGCACAGAGCATATAATCTCCCCCATATCATGTGATATAATTGGTCCAAATTCTTCATTTACTCCAAGATCGATCTAAATCAAAAGCAAAAACAAACAAACAAAAAACGAAAAATTAAAATATGAGAAAGTCAGAGTCCATTGATAAAGTTTAAGACCACCTCAGATTTTGTTGATGCTTCTGTCACTCGGCCTGCATTAAGAAAGTCTCATTGAATGATTACAGAATGGTTACTTAATACAGTGGTCGATATCATCAGAGTAGTGCTACGAAACCTATATGATCCCAAATTTATTTGCAAAGGAAGGCCTGCTATAACATTTTATCTGTAATGCAGCATGGTAAAGGCCATTTTTAAAGGGCCTAAATTATTCCATCCATCAAAATTAAGGGTTACTCTGAAGTCTGAGCATCAAATGATCAAGAGGACTGGTTGCAGCAAAACTGAGGTGTAGGATGCCATTTCAAGCAGACAGTTTATTTTCCAACCAGAAAAGGGTTGGTAGTCCAATAAAACTAATTCAAATAGTTGACTGTTGATATTTATCATATGCCTATAGTGATGGGTATATGAAATGATACTGCTCAAGTATTATCATAATGTATGTTTCACATCAACCCTCCCCCCCTCCCCTCCACTACAACAAAAATGGACAGTCAATAATCATCATTGCCAGTAGTATACCCACTTAAAAATATCATTAGTGTAAATATTGTATTAAAGACATCTCCTTGAAGACTTGTGCAAATTTGTAATGCTTCCTTTTCATCTCTTTCTTTCTCTCTTAAATGTTGTTTTGTGTATAAATTATTTGAAACTTTATTAATTTGATTTTGTATAGTGCTGGGTGCTTTGCCTATTTAATGAGCTATTACATTTCACCTTTGACCTACATACTCAGAAATCGAACTTAGGCTGTACATGTATTTTGATACCATGTACCTTCATATTAAATTTCATTAAATTTGTCTAACATTACTTAAGTTATCGAATGGAAACCAGATTTGCATATTTAATGAGCTATGACCTTTGACCTACATATTCTGAAATTGAACTTAGGCTGTGTTTTGATACCATGAACCTTCATATCAAATTTCATTAAAATCTGTCAAACAATACTAGTTATGGATCGAAAACCAGATTTGCATATTTAATGAGCTATGACCTTTGACCTACATACTCTGAAATTGAACTTAGGCTGTGTTTTAATACCATGAACGTTCTTATCAAATTTCATTAAAATCCGTCAACCAATACTAAAGTTATGGATCGGAAACCAGATTTGCATATTTAATGAGCTATGACCTTTGACCTACATACTCGGAAATTGAACTTAGCCTGTATTTTGATATCATGTACCTTCATATCAAATTTCATTAAAATCTGTCAAACATTACTAAAGTTATCGATCGGAAACCAGATTGTATTTTTTCGCATATTTAATGAGCTATGACTTTTGACCTTTGGCCTACATACTCCGAAATCAAACTTAGCCTGTATTTCGATATCATGTACCTGCATATCAAATTTCATTAAAATCCGTCAAGCATTACTAAAGTTATCGATCGGAAACCAGATGTGTAGTTTTTCGCATATTTAATGAGCTATGACCTTTGACCTTTGACCTACATACTCCGAAAACGAAATTAGCCTGTATTTTGATATCATGTACCTTCATATCAAATTTCATTAATATCCGTCAAACATTACTGAAGTTATCAATCAGAAACCAAATTTGTTACGGACGCACGCACGGAAGGACGCAAGGCAGGGTTACTATAATTAATCTACATCTGCACAGTTCAACTTAAGTTGATGCAGTTAAAAATGATTGAGCATCCCATTTGGCTTTTCATATATAAGTCATTTGTAAAGTCATGCGTAACTTTACGAACAGCTTCATGAAACACCCCCCTGGAGTACTGGTTAAACATGATCTGAAATGTTCATATCATGTGAATAATATTGTCAAGCGAGCAAGCACAAAACTATACATGCTCAGAATATTAAACAGATTCAAACTTCCAGCAAATGATCGAATTTGTCTACTGTTCTTACGTTCGGCCCATGGTAGAATACTGTGCCCCTGCTTGGCCCTCTGGGCTAACTGAAAACCAAAGTAATCAGATTGAAAGAATCCAAAAAATGAGCATGCTGCCTTGTGCTTGGACTGCACTACTGTACTTACCAACATGCTCTAAAAGAATTGGAACTGCCCACTCTCAATGAATGACGAGAGAAACTAGCATTGAGTCTGTTCAAAAGATTGACCAGCCCATCATCAAACTTTCACCACGGGCTTCCTCCATTGCAATCAACTTTACATTGTCGATCATTACGAAATGGCCAAACCTAGGCAGAAGTTTTTGTAAAACAGAGCGCTACAAACGAAGTGCTCTCCTCCACCTCATCAGGCTCTTGAATTTAAATTTGATGTAAAGAGGGGGGGGGGGGGTCCATATACAAATCTTGTTGTTCAATATACTTAGGTAAAACTACCAGCAAAATCCATTTTCCTTGGTGTAATGTGTTTATCTTGCCATTTTTGTCAATTATTCATTGTTGATTAGTTTATTATACAATATGTACCATTTTACACGCCATCCAAGTCCTGGTAAACAATTTGATACAATTTATCAACCAATTTGAAGGTTTTTAATTATGCAATATTTTTTACTCTTTTTAATACTCATACCGTTGATTAATTATATTCTCGTATGAACTTATCCTAAATACTTTGAACTTTGAAATGAACCAAAAATATGTAACCAAATTATTGATATATCTGCCAACAACCCACAGGCAAGAGAGGGAGAGAGACAGAGAAGGGGAGAGAGGGGAAAAAAGAGAAAAGATAGAATGGTGAGAACGATGGACATCATTTATCGAACAAAAGTGTAATTTCTCCATGAATTATGTTTCATGACTTATATTCATTCTGTTTTTGCTTTTCTTCAATTATTTAATCTACAGTGTTGTATGTACCATAAGTATCATCTGGCTTTTGGATATTATTACCATTTTTAGTATTGTATGTTATGTATTTTAAAAACATGCTTGTAAAATGTGAACAATTCAACCATTGGCTGCTAATCATATTTTGTTTTATACCATAAATAAATAAATATTAAATACCCATTCCTAAAAAAATGCATGTCTGTAGATGCCTGATGGGTTTGCAATTGAAGGCAAAGTCCACCCTGATATTAAGTTGGATTTAACTAGATGGAACTTCGACTGCGCGCAGTCGAAAATGATGCCTCCGTCATAGAGCAATTTTACAAACCAAAACGGAGGAATTTTTCAAATTCAAGTTCAATTGTAATCCATTAACAGGTTTTCAGAATATCGTGATTACAAGCAATTTCTCATATACATATATGACCCTTTGATATTTGACCTCATGATCCTAAAATCTACTCAATTCATTGGCTCTGCAAGATGTCCTGAGTTAAATAGTAATCCATCTGTCATTTCTAATGAGAATGCATTCACAAACTATTTTTGCATACATAATGAGCCCATGACCTTTGACCTTTGACCATATGAACCAAGAATCTACTCAGTTCATTGGCTCTGCAAGATACATAAATGATCCAAGTTTGGCAGGAATCCATCAATCTGTTCTAATGATAATGCGATCACAAGCTATTTTTGCATATATAATGAGTCCAGTGACCTTTGACCTTTGACATCGTGACCCCAAAATCTAATCAGTTCATCGGCTCTGCAAGATACATACATGACCAAAGTTTGGCAGGAATCCATCAATCGGTTCTTTAGATAACGCGATCACAAGAACGGGATGTACGTACGTACAGACGTACGTACGGACGGACGGACAACCCAAAAACATAATGCCTCCGGCTACTTCGTAACGGAGGCATAATAAAAGCAGGAAAGGGGGAGAAACAAATTATTGAAAGTTTGAGCATCTTCAGCACCTTCTGCTGCCATCACATAACGACGATCTTCTGAAACATCACAAAGCGGGTCCTCCTCGGCACACCCTCAAAACTCAAACTGTCACTGACCTGTTTTTCTCATTTTATGCTTCTATTCAAACCAACTTCATATCAGGATGGACATCCCTATTAAATTATAATACTTATTAATGAAGGTAAGATATCAAACTTACCACATCTTTATGTACACCTAGTCCAGTGAATACATAACCTGCTATGGTGTGTGCTGTCATGGATAACCATATTCTCAGAGATGACATTCTATCCCTCAACAAGGCTGCAGTATCTAGGTCCTGACTCTCAAAGGATACATCAACCAAGAAATCCATCTCATCTCTGTCTCTGGTGTCAACCTGTAACATGCATTTCATGACATGGTTTGCAATGGCTTTGTTCCGTGATACAGTGAAATACAGGAGATACCTGAACTCTTTTTTCCTAGGCAGCACTACTTGCTCAATCAGCCTGTTGAATTTATTGGGATCTAGTTCATACAGGGAAGCAAGATAGACCCCAGCCATGTACTCCTGAAAGAGTTTGTGTGGAAAGAAGATAGTAGACTGCAGGAACATACTGCTCTTATCATACAGGTTAGATGACAAATTTTTCTCCTGAGACAACACCCCTACTCTGCAAGCTGTTTCAATGGAGTCTGAGCACTGTTCAAAATCACCTTCTTTGAAACTAAGGGTGTTTTCTTGTAGCCCGATGAAAGCAACTTTGGCAACTGGTTCCATGAGTTTCTCAATTCGAGAGCGACATGCTTGGAAAGATGGGCTGTCTAAATCTGGGATTTTTTTCTGAGCATAATGCACCTTCAAGAATTCAAACATTTCATCAAATATTTGAGAAAAAGTTTGTAACGACTTAAACTTTTCTTGTTTTTCGTCACCAAGTTCTCTCCACATAAGACAGACCATAGCTATGTAGATAGGATACGGGGCCATATGCTCAGATATGATGACATTGTCTTTGGTTAATTGGATAAGCTGATCTGCTTTGGCCCCATCATCTTGGAAGTACTTGTGAATGTAAACCTCCACATTCTCCTTGCTAAAACCTTCCAAATGCAGGAAAGTGTACCGTTTGCTCAGACTATCATCCCATCTAATCTCTTTGACCTTCCATGGGCGACTTGTCACCAACACCGGGCAAGTGACAAGTTCATCTGAACGAAGAATGTCTGTAAGTGGAATTTCACCTCTCTCTGAAGACCTTACGCTTGCCTCTGCACTGTTGACACTTGGCTGCGAAGTGGCACTTGTTGGGCTTCCTGACTTTGGTTGCATTAACTTTTGCCGCTTATTCTTGTTCATCTTTGATTCTGATCTTGCCTTGGTTTGATCAGCAGACTTTGGCTGGTGACAGTCTGACTTTGAACCAGCTTTCCTTTGCTGTACAACCTTGCCATCAAACTCATCTAATCCATCAAACGCAATGAATACATCTTTTGGATTTGAACGGATGTACTCAGTGATTTGGCAGGCTGTTGCTGGGTTGCCCTTGGAGAGATACGACTTGACAATCTCACCAATCGTGTATTGTTTGGCTTCACGAAATGGGACAACAAGTACCCACACAAACTTTTGGAGAGCAGGACTGTCATTTATCCAGTCCCAGGCAATCTTAGCACAGAATGTTGTCTTTCCTGTCCCAGCCTCTCCCTGAACCATGATCCGCTTGGGAAACTCTCCATTGACTTTAAGATCAAAGAGATCACTGTACTCAAGTGGTCGCTTACGTTGTCGATATTCCTCTTCCAGGACAAGGTTTGTGTACATGTCGCCAAACTGCACAATGGAAATTGGGATGAGAGGATCAGCTCTGATCTTACAGAGAGTTGTCCGGTATTTGGATCTCAAATCATCTGCACATCTCTCGATCAGGTCAGCAGAAAGTGGTTGGGGCTGTGATCCTGGCAATCTAACAGGTGCACCTTTAAAATTTAATAATACAAGTGTGATAATTTTTTCTGAATATCAAAATGTTTTTTAAAGAATATTCTGAACATATACACATGAACATAAAAACAAATTTCTGATGTATTTTTTTGTTTGTCAACTTTACATTTTCATTCATTCATTCATGTCTTTGCAGTTTTATTTCTGCACATCCATCATACATGTTACAATCTTATGCTTTTGTTTTAGTTCTCATTTACATATTTCGTATTGCATGACTTATTGTTTATTTAGAAAGGTGTTGTAAATGTTTTATATTATGTTTTATATATCGATTGTTGCATTACATTGTAAAGTGATTATAACTATGTCTATAAACAGAATATTGATGTACATCAATGATGTTTAATAAATACAATACAATACATACATGTTTACTCTTGTTGATGCATGACATGTCTGTTTGTTTTCTTTTTTAAGTATCTCAAAAAAATTGTCTTTCGGTAGTAAAGATAAAGTTGAGTTCTGGTCATGCAATTGGATTGTGAAAGAAGCGGTGTGGAATCAATCAGAAAAAGTTGATCATGTAGCATAGAAGTATTGGTGTGTAATGTAAGGTTCTGGAATCATCAAAATGATATGAAATTTGGCACAGTGGTAGTTAAGTAACAAGCACTGTACACAGAAAGATGTATGTGGGACTATACTCAAACATGTGGCATAAAAATCAGGCTTAGTTTTTACCGGTAAGCTGTTACTTGTCATATTTAGAATATTTGAAGAGCCATGCTTTTCAGGAAACATTTTTTCTGTGATGTTCTTCCAGACTTGCATAATCACAATGATAATGCTCACAAATTATTTTTCACCTCTCCCCAGATCTCAACCTTCTCTTTCAGGTATATACTGTATATACCTATCGGCTATTTATGTATCCATATGTAACATGTCAATATCATTCATTTCCATCGTTAACAGTATGGACGATAATGATGAACCTCATAAACCTTATGAATTATAGCTCAAAGAACAATTCCATTCAATATAGAAAGAACTGAGAGAAATGTAGTTTTCCTTTTGTTTTGTACACAAGAAACAGAAATTATCCATTTTGGGGGCTGACATAAATAAGGTCACAAAAGATAAAAACGATTCTGTAATGGTACAATTTTCAGAAACTTGACAAAAAAAATAGTTAGAAAGTGGCTGCATGGGCTTGAAATGCCAAGAAATTTGAATGACAATCGTTGTACAGCTTCATGTAAAACTAATTTCATCATCACCCTTACACAGCACAAAGTGAGTGGGTCTGTAACCATGTATTAATGGCCACAGCCCATGTGACCGACAGCCCACAAGACCGACAATATCTGTCTAGCGAACCATCTGAAAAGTTGTTAGAAGGTCCATGACACCAACTACCCATGGACTGACAACCCACAAGACTGAAATGTTAGTCTCATGGATATTCTGACAACTATTTTGAGGGTTCAACAGACCTCATGGGCTGTTCGTCTACTGGGATGTCCTGCTATAAAATAACCCTATTCGTACCAAACGAAAAAGTGTCAAATCAGTGTTTGTTGGCTCCCTGCAAGAGCAATATATTATCAATGGCAGTAAAGGCCTTCTTGCGAGCAGCTGACATGATTTCCTTCTTATTCTCACCTGTCCTGTTTGGGACTAGACTGCCAGCAAGTAGTTTGCCAGAGAGGGACCCTAAGTCACTACTTTCTAATTCCTCTGCAAGAAGAGCCCTGATGTCTGTGCCTGGAGGCTGTTTGTCTCTCCATCTTGTGAAGACTGTCATCAATGCATCACTGGTATTTTGGCTCTCTTTCTCGATTTGACCAAGCTCTGCAATGGAGATGTCCAGGTTAATGCCCACCTCTTTGTAGTAGCTAGGTTTAATTTGCTTTGACAGCTTTAAGAATTCCTTTTCACTGACAATCCTGTAATTAAAAACATGAGTTTATCAAGCATCTCTTAAGTTTCTCTTAAAGCCCTTCTTAAGTGTTGAGAGCCCCAAATTCGCCACTATTTGAAGGCAAAGTTTCACTTAAATTGTAAAGATCCCCCCCCCCCCCCCATAAAAATGTGTTTGAAGACAAACATTAATAAAAAGAATACATAATTTTGGTTTTCTGTTGTACGCAAAAAACCTAGATTTTGTATTCTTTCATCAATATTTGACATCAACACATTTGTTTTTAAAATCCTGCAAAAATGTGTTTAAAATGACATCCCTTTTCACATTATGATACAATTTAAGTGAAATTTTGCCATCAAATTCGTGGGGCTCCCAACACTTTGGAGGGTCTTAAAGTATCTCTTATTGTGTTGTAACTCCTACTGTATAATTCATTAAATCACCATTCTTCATACTTTGTAAGTTTAGTTCAGTTCTTGATGAGCTTTTGGGCGAAACAGACTGTACAACTAATCAACTGCATGGAAGAATAAACTACTCCAACCTACAAATATGTACACTAGCTCCTACAGCTGAGCACTGTTAGTACCTGCAGCTTCATGAGCATACCTATCTGATTTCATTAAGCTACATGTACTGATGAGACTTATTCAAAGGTATATTGAAGCATACAGACACAAGACTTATACCTCATTGAGCAGCGCACTTGAATATGGAAGAAAAATTGGCATGCATGCAGTGGTGTTATGGTTTAATAGTTAGAAAATTACTTAATATCCCTACTGCTCATTACTGTTGCAATAAAGAAAAGGAAATAAGCTTCAAATACATATAGACTGACCTGTCTGGTCCAGGGTTGGTTTCAACATCACCAGATCTCACCAGGAGAATCATGAACAGATAGAGAAGGTAGAATCCACCCATGGTATAAGATGTCCTTCTCATTCGACAGAAACTCAGTCCGCTGGAAAGGTACATGAATGACAACCCCAGCAAGACATCCTGTAAAATGGGGATTGATGCAGTTAATCATACAAATTGAAGTGAATTAAATTGAATTGAATTTATTTATTCACCACCATTGAAAACATTGAAACAAAAGATCATTAATATAAACATGACATGAGTTAAAATACATGTTCTACAGCGATATAATATAAAATTAAAAGATAGTTATAAGTAAATTTAGTGTCAAGAGTAAAACAATAAATGACTATTTACAAAGAGTAAATTACTCATATTAGTGAATAGTGACAGACATGTACGTGTATGTACAATGTACAAAAAATGGTTCACTGTTTACACTTTTTCGCCCCTTATCCAAATATTTGCCTCCTGACTTGACTCTTTTGCAATTTAATACTGAATTTTATTCAAAGATAAAAGGGGATGACATGTGAAGATCTAGCTTATATCCAGGAAGGGAAGGGGGGCGGGATGGGTGTCTCCATTTGTGCTGCAGAGAGACAAAATACACATTTAAAGGATTTATGAAATAAAGCTACCGGTAATCAAATATCATATTGAGATTATTTTCATTGTGTATATGGTAGGGTGTAAATACAAAGGAATTCTTGAGGAGCATCCCCCTCCCCCCACCCCCTCCGTGATGTAGTGCAATGTGTTTTTTTCATTGTTGAAATATGTAAATTTTTACAATTCATAGCATCTGATATCACTACGGTCTCTATGTTAACTCCCATTATATACTATTAGTATTTCTTTGTATTTACACCCTACTCTTACAGTAAGCAGAAAAATCAAGGAGAATAGTGAAAGTTGAAACAAAAAAGGAAAGTGTGGGAGCTTTCACATTTTTTAACTTCAAATTGTGCAATCTGATGCATACCTATTGAGGAAATTTGAGCTTAAGATTAATTGTATCTGGGTAAGCGTTTGGGATTTGATCCACCAGAAATTTGGAATATATTTTTCATGAAGAAAACAAATAATTGACAAACTAATATGCACCCCAACACACACACACACACACACACAAACAAAAATATTATTGTACGTAATGTCGTAAACAGTTCCAACATAAACCATATGCCAAATACATACATGTATGATTCAGCAACATACAGTCAAGACCGAGTCACAAGGGAACAAAGCGACCAAGGGATGGGACAGAGCCAGAGGAGGATGGTTTGGGAGGGGGTATTCCCCCCCCAGGCTCCCACGGTAAGGGAGATATTGCATTTATTTACTTATAATAATGGTGCATTTTGGTGCTTGTCGTGCCATACCTCAGTGGGAATTATAGAATCTGAGTTACAATGTAACATGTCATGATTAAAAAAGACAAAGAAAAATGGTTACGCTCTCATCAGATGTTTACGGTTCAAACATAATCAAATAAATATTTACACAAACATGACACAAATCTGACACTAATATGCCATACTATATTTAAACAAAAGTGGCAATACAGTATGCCCCTTGACTTGCAGGGGTGGGCCTGGCCTGACATATCCGAATGCTGCTGAAATTACTTCCCTAGTGCAGTGGCAAGCGACTTGAGTGCCGTTTTGCCAATATGCTAGGCGTGGCAGCCGTGGGGTGCATGGTACTGCAAACGCTCACAAAATGACCCCTGGGTGACCGTATACTTACGGTAGAGTTACGAGGTTTATACATGTATGTATCATATAGAAGACAATACTTCAATTTGATGGAAGTGCTTATAAATGGATATAAAATAAATCAAAATCTCTATAATCTTAAAGGGATTGGGTAACTTTGTCTCAGATTCTGAAACGAAATCCTGGATTTAGCTCATGCTGCATTGATAATCATAAACCTTTAGGTCAGTCAGTAACACCATGACTTTTACAAGCCGATCGCCTGTCTGATTATCAAGATATTTATGAGTGGAAATCGAAATTTAATTTGGTGTTTTCCTAACGGTTTTCAATTTTTCATAACACTACAGTCCATTGGGGAAAATGAGTCGGTATGGTAAAACCGGTCACTCAAAGATATTTACTTTTTAGAGGCACTTCGTGATCATTTTGATGCGCAATTTTTTTAACACAATGTATCTCAGATTTAACATTGTTAAACGATGCCTTTAATAAGTTAGTTCGTAATTAGCCACTGGAGTCGTATGACGTCAACGTGTCATAGCTAGGTCACATCAGCATAATATCTCCAAACGCCCACAAGCTTGTGTGTATAGCGTCTATGTTATGGGATGGTGGGAAGAAGGAAACAAATCGTGTGATGCAATAAACTTATGAAGTGCTACTGCACGGATCGGATCGGAGCGAATGGTGGTTTCCTTTTTTTCCCTATTTTTCCTATTTCTTGCATGGCTGATGGAATTCAAGATTCTACGTCAATAGTGAGAAATTAGCTGAAAATACGAGGCAATGACTGCGACATTGGGATTGTTTTAATTGTTTATGACATAGTCTATGATGGCCGAGTGGCCGACCATAGCCAGTTACTAGTTAGCCACGCCCTATATATGTATCGTGCGGGTGCATCTCTTATAATTACCTCATGAGGAATCCCCTCAAATTTTATGGCATACCGTATTTGCCAGGTTAAAGGCCGCATTTTTTCGGAAGAGAAAATATCAAAAAGTTTGGGTGCGGCCCATGCGCAACAACAATCAAAATCGGCAATCAAAACAGCACGTATTTGTACATATATGGGACCAACCTAAGTACAATGACTATACCAGTTAATGTATAATGGTACAGGACATTTCTAGAATAACTCCATACATGTCTTACCAACAATTTTGGTTATATTGTTGACATGAAGTTTTGTCAATCTCGTGAATAAACTTCATAACTTACCAACCAAAAACTACCGGTAGATCTAGATCTAAGTTCGTGCCACTGCTAAAGCAACCTCAATCCTCGCAGCCCGCACCAATCGTGCCAAGCTATTGCGCAATACACCATCGACTGGGGGCTGGAGAGAAAGCTGAAATAAGACGCCATCTGGCTTGCTGCCTATGGTGTCGGCAAAAAAGCAAAACAAAAAAAATTACAAATATTTCGAAAAAAATTATTATCATTTTTGTGTGTCTACAAAATGTTAAAATAGGGGGTGCGGCCTTAAGGCAGGAAAATACGGTATGCCAATATGCAGTTGTAGGCTAGCGTAGAAATGAATGGAATAGCTGAATGAGAACAAAGACATTTTTGTTAATCGAGTATCTGCATGTTGTGGTCATTGGTCACAATCTTAATCAATTTCTTCACATCTGCATGACTGCCAGTTTTTATGTGCAATTTTTTTCTATAGTTATTATAGATCTATTCTTCATGCTTTAAAGTTAATAGGGATTATGTGGTGCAACGGTGCCCTGCTTCTCCAGCCAAAAGGGACTTTTAGATTTGCATGTTGACATATAGTGGACTGCTACTTGTGACGTCCTTTTAAGGCACTGTGAAGTTGTTTTTTACCGCCAGTGCCTTAAAAGGACGTCACACGTAGCAGTCCACAATGTCAACGTGCAAATCTAAAAGTCCCTAATGACAAATTGTTTCCCTCCTTTCTGGGGGTATCTCTATTACTCATTTGGAGTACCCCCTATAGGGATTCCCATTGAATTGTTTCCCTCCTTTCTGTGGTTATTCTCTATTACTCATGTGGAGTACCCCGTATATTGAACTCTCTGGCTTTGCATGAGTGCATTTCTTTTGTGTACGTGCTGGCATCAGTGAATGCTTTTTATGTACCATGATTTATTTATTTTTGTTAAATTTTTGTTATCACTGTTTCACAGGCTGTTTATGATAAAAAAAATCATTGCCGTCCATTTTTTCTTCAATTATCTCAAACCCTTTCAATTATAAGGTATGATATTGAAGTAGACCTAAACCGATTTGTTGCAAAGCAAGTTGACTTGACACATAAAAATTAATAGCTTGGACTTGTTCTCAGTACTCGCTCTCGCTGAGATCAATGGAGACGAGGGTTAAATAAGACTAGTATATAGTACTTAGTAGAAACCTAAACATTAGCTCAGTGCATTTACACTGTAATTAATAGCTTGGGCTTGTTCTCAGTACTCGCTCTAGCGGAGATCAATGGAGAAGAGGGTTGAATAAGACTAGTAGGGATTATGTGGTGCAACGGTGCCCTGCTTCTCCAGCCAAAAGGGACTTTTAGATTTGCATGTTGACATATAGTGGACTGCTACTTGTGACGTCCTTTTAAGGCACTGTGAAGTTCTTTTTTACTGCCAGTGCCTTAAAAGGACGTCACACGTAGCAGTCCACAACGTGCAAATCTAAAAGTCCCTAATGACAAATTGTTTCCCTCCTTTCTGGGGGTATCTCTATTACTCATTTGGAGTACCCCCTATAGGGATTCCCATTGAATTGTTTCCCTCCTTTCTGTGGTTATTCTCTATTACTCATGTGGAGTACCCCGTATATTGAACTCTCTGGCTTTGCATGAGTGCATTTCTTTTGTGTACGTGCTGGCATCAGTGAATGCTTTTTATGTACCATGATTTATTTATTTTTGTTAAATTTTTGTTATCACTGTTTCACAGGCTGTTTATGATAAAAAAAATCATTGCCGTCCATTTTTTCTTCAATTATCTCAAACCCTTTCAATTATAAGGTATGATATTGAAGTAGACCTAAACCGATTTGTTGCAAAGCAAGTTGACTTGACACATAAAAATTAATAGCTTGGACTTGTTCTCAGTACTCGCTCTCGCTGAGATCAATGGAGACGAGGGTTAAATAAGACTAGTATATAGTACTTAGTAGAAACCTAAACATTAGCTCAGTGCATTTACACTGTAATTAATAGCTTGGGCTTGTTCTCAGTACTCGCTCTAGCGGAGATCAATGGAGAAGAGGGTTGAATAAGACTAGTATAAATTATAGTACTTAGTAGAAACCTAAACATTAGCTCAGTGCATTTACACTGTCACCAAAAATCATCAATTTTTCTCACATTCCGGTATTTCGACACAAAAAAAAAAAAAAATCAAAAATCAAAAAAAAAAATCCTACTCCAGAGAATTTTTATTTAAAACGCCTGCTGGATGTTAACTGATATTTTGCAGTGTTAAAGGCACACTTCGGTAAGCTAAACAAGATAACGCCTTCTACTCATGTGACCTCCTCACTTCAGTGCTTTTAATGATACACATGCTCTACTCAGGGCACTGACGAAGCGAAGATCAGTTACCAAAATTTCTTCCTTATAATTCCTTGTCATTAAACATTTTTAGAACCCTAATCTGACCTTTTTTTTCATGGTGCATATCAACATAATTTAATCTGACTTTTTCTAAAGTTTCATATCAATACACCCTTTCTCCACAGAATTAGGGGATTGTAAGTGTGGGGGTGTTTTCTCACACTTCGCATTCAAGACCTAGATTACATACAAATTGTATAAATATGTGCGAATTTGAGGACGCTTCAACGGTTTTTGTATGTTTTTTTCTTTCCAGTAGTGTAAATCATAGACCAAAAAAATCACTGATGGGATGCATCTCCCAGTCTCAATAAAATCATGTGGAATCTTAAATTCAATACGAAGAAAGCATTTCTTTCAGAGTACATTGTTTGATCTTTTCCCAGTGCTGAATTAATATTGATTATTATTTTCAATTTCCTATAAAATATCCATCACTATATTTTATAACTCCTGTATACTTATATAATTTGTTGGTGTCAGAGTTGTTTACATCTGCATATTTTTATTTTCATTTTCATTGTCATCATCAACATCATCCCCAACACTAGTTTTTGGTTTTAATTTTTGGTCATCACCACATGCCCCCTCCCCCCGGCTTACCTTTCCCCCGAGCTATCACGCTATCAAGCAATAGCTTAATGTAATTAATATCCCATCTTTTTCTGCAACTTTCTAAATGAATAATACTTGGTATTGTTTTATCAGTTAAATTATGTTTTTGTTATAATTTTTTTTGTATACAGTGCAGTGCGGCCCAGAAAAACGAAACCGAGAATTATCATAACTTAATCACGATTACAATTAACAAACGACACATATTTGTAAAGCTTAGATCCTCCTCTTTCATTTGATGCATTTCATATGATGCATATTTCATGCATGAGTGATGAAAATAAATTTGAAGAATCGGTACCAAAAAGTCATTTGGCGGACGGTATCTGAATGTCAAAGAGAAAATCACATTTCTAGAAAGTCCATTTTTTCCCTTTCATATGACACCTCAATCAGTAAAGATGAGCTAGGAATAACAAAGATCTGTTTATTTAAATGCTTGCATTACCATAAAATGTGTATTAAACAAATTCCCTTTCACTGGCTTGCTGGCTGCCTGCCGAAGCAACAAACAGAATTGACAAAAGACTTAACTCCGTTTCGTTGATGATCAGCCAAAGACAAAAAAAGGTTTTGAATCAGCGGCTTTTTTCACCAAGACTACATCTGGTTCCACTCACACCAGAAAAGCAATACAAGGCATAGACCAAAAGCTTCAGTCTCTCTATATCGTCGGTTGTTCCTCTGAGACTACGTCTGGCTCCACTACCTTCGATTATAGAGACTGAAGTTCGTCCTATGGGGACTGTACGGAACAATTGGTTCGGTTCGGCCGGACCGAGATGAATGAGATATGCAACAAGATTTTCACCCTTTACATCCTCATAAATGCTGCAATATTGCAATAATTAGAGTCTAGATCTATATTAAAAAATTAAAAATAACATATTGGTCTATATAGCTTATTTGACTTACGATCTATAGCTTGCTCATTTAGATCCTAAATTAATGATTAATCCGAGAAAGTCTCGTAGTCAAATAACTCCGTTGTCAGCCATCTAGGTTTTAGTTGATGAATATTCATTTTTTCTTTTCGAACGTCCAATAGCTACCGTACATACGTACGAGTCAGCCCGGCTTGACCAACGAACTCCCACAAAACGAGTGCTCTGATTGGACATTGGCTATGTTTCAGTAGGTTGACCCAGAAATATATCGGCCGCTGGGTCATGTCATTACTAGTTTGAGTGCATGAACGTACTGTTTCATTGTTCTGAGACGATAATGGGATAACTCATATAGAGTAAGTCCGTAAATTTCTCATTTTAAAATAGCAAATAAAAATGTAATTACTCCAGATAGAAATATACAAATACATAGTATTTGTCTATCTGCTTTATAGATCAGAAACGTAGATCTAAATAAAGAAAATTGGGGGAGAAAATGTCATGAGCCAACAATTACAAAAAGATGTCCAGAATTGGCTATAGATTACCCCCACGCCGGTACGAGATCGCTGGCGTACCGTCTGTATATGGGGAATGTCAACAAATGTCAGTTTTATTAAAGAAATGACCCATATCAGACGGTTATTTCTGTCTATACAAGGCAAAGCAAAGACACCAAGTTACTAAGTTATAACAAGATATGAGGAGGAATATTACTGGAGTTGCATGGAATTGGAAGCCCATATACACTCAAGTCAAGAGCCTTCTAGCAGATTCTCTGGTAATTAAAGATAACATTAAATACATGTACAGTTTTAAGAAAGATATCCCCATACTTACCAGGTGGTAATTTTCTGTGGATACAGCTACATCGACTTTGGAAACCACTCGTTCGTCCGCATGCACAAGTACTGTAGATCTATGTGTAGCGTTTATGGGGTGGTGGGAAGAAGGAAACAAATGCGTGTAAAAACAGGTAAATTTAAGACGGGCCCCTCCCCCTTTCCTCAGTTCACAAAGTTGGGGCACAAACTGTGACGTAGGAAGTAAAATTTCAAGTTACTCTTTATGATTTCATTCTATTATTTCTCAGTACTCTAGTCCATGGACTTTATGGAATCACCAAGGATTCTACTGCCAACTTCCTTAATAGACCATTAATGATGCTGGTTATATAATCATGTCAGCTTGTGTTGTGGATGTAACATGGGACACCACACTATCAAATAAGGGGCCCCATTTCCTCTGAAAAACATGAAATTTGGGGAAGGGGGTGGTGGTGGGTGGATGTTGAGTAAACATACCTCCCCCTCCAACTTATTCGCTTGCTAGCTGATTAGGCGCTCAAGAAATTAACAAATTAGTGCTCACTACCCCTCCCCCCCCCCACCCCATGAGAAAACACCTGCTCAAACCCCCCCCCCCCCCCACGCTTATTTGCCGGCTGGCTGATTCGGCGCTAAATATTCTCTCACGAATAGGGACGAAAACAAATTAGTGCTCCTTACCCCCTCCCCCCTGTTGAGAAAGAAAAACAAACTCCTCTTACCCTTACCCCCCCCCCCCGCGCTTATTCGCCGCTAAATATTTTCTCCCGAATTTGGCCCCCTATTTGGCCCCTCCCTTGCCGCCGGTTGGGAGTACCGTTGAATCGTTTCCCTCCTTTTGTTGTTGTTGTTGGTATTGTTATTGGTGTTGTTGTTGGGTTTTAAGGCTGTCCAATCTGAAAAGATTATTTCCGCCTGGCAATACTGTTTTTCGAGTTATTCAGCAATGATGATTAGATGGCGCTGTTTCCTTTTTTCTGGTTCAAATATTGATTCAGTGAGTTTCACAGCTTCTGTTCAATCGATGGTGTGGACAATAATTTAGATGTCGACCATAAACAGGGTGCGGGTATTGATTAATGACGGTTAACTGTCCAGTGCTAAACTATACTTTTCCTTTCCTACCTCTCCGAGAGAGAGAGAAGGTGAACATAAAATAATATAAATACAAAATAAAACTTTGGTTGTTAGGCTTATATATATAATTAACAAAAACAAAAACGAAAACATTAAATACAATTTGCTCTTTACATCATCATGGCAAAGTTACGATAAAAGCCATCGGAGCGTACAGAGGATCTTTTTACCCCAATAAGTTATGTAAACTCCTTTCTTTTTTATTCAGCCATGCCATGTTCAATTTCCTAACAACGCAAAGTCTGATGTCAGACAAGGAATCAAAATATACAAATTGTCATCGATCAACAAAGGGGATATCCAATCCCCTCACAATTCAGTTTATCATGGGGGTTGGACTCCTTAACCCCATGGATATAATTATCACTGTCATCCAAAGGAAATTACATCTTGCAATGGATTGGTATAGATTGGTAAAGCGGCCCTGTTTCATATAACTTAAGTGTTATACAAAACAAAATGCTAAATATCTATGACAAATTTGCTCTCAGCCAATCAAATGCCACGATTTCAGTAGCTTAATAACAGTTATTACATGTTTAACATGAGGGGGGAGGGGGTTGGTCTCATGCCTAATTTCACAAACCAATAAAAGCGCGGCTATACTGTCAAAGTGAACACATTCCCTTCCCGAGATAAAATAACACACCCCTAAAGTAAAACGTTCACTCCTTTATCTATTGCTCTGCGTACAATTTCTTTGGATCCGGGTATCGGCTGATTCGGCTCCGTTTAAAGTCAACAGAGCTGATTGGAACGCAAATACTTGCTTTAATTACAAGACATGCTTTTTTAAATAGACTCCTCAACTATGTTTTTTTTTTACCACTGTGCCAATCTTAGATGATTTATTTGACAAATTGTATAATTTTGTCGTATCTTTTGTCTAATATTATGTTATCGAATTTGTATGTATTGCATATTCATTTGAACTTGTTATATTATGTGGAAAATGAAAGAAACCTTGAAGCCTTAAAACTCAATCAACTGAAGTCACTATCTATGTGTACATTGCCCATTATGTACGAAGATTAGGTTAGTATTCGAAGGGTATCTAGGCACAGGAATGGTTACCATGCTCTCTCTCTCTCTCTCTCTCTCTCACTCTCCCCCCTCTCTCTCTCTCTCTCTCTCCCCCTTTAATATATTCTCTTTTCTTTTTCACTGAGCATCAAGGTGCCTTTATTTACATTTTACATAATTCTATTTAAGTAGTCTTTAAACGGCGTCTCACCAATCAAGAAAGTAAAGAAAAACCACATTTTCAATCGTCCAACTTCTTATAACAAACGTCAAACTGCAGTGGGGCTGTTAAAATGTCTTCGGGCAAACTTATCAAAAAGGGTTTATCAATTCATGTGACAGCGACCCTGTTTAAATTGGGGGAGTTTGAAGAGTTTCAAGCTCATGTCAAGCGTGGCAACATGATGAACAAATATCAACTACATGACAAAGCCGCATCCAGGATGGGAAAGAGCCTAAAGAGGAGACTATCAACTAGTTATATGACAAAATACTTTGTAAAATTGTCCTTCAAATCTACCCCTGATCACATTTTTAAAACAACTTCCAACATCCGAGTTTAGAACACCCGCAATCAACAATTTAGTTGATGAGTATTTCTAATAATTTACGATTACCACCAACGTATTTTTAAAAACCTCAGGAGGTGGACAAAAACACGATCGCATGCCAACTACTTTCGGAAATCAACCTAAGGCACTTTCAATATATTACCTTATGCGTCCCCTATTGAAATGTCATAATTAGCATCCTCATCATCATTATTATCATGATAATTATCATTATCATCACCATCATCATCATTATCATCATCATCACATCGTCATCATCGTCGTCACCATCACCATCACCATTATTGGCATCATCATAATTATCATCATCAAGTATTATATTCCGAAGTAGCATCATCATCATCATCATCACCACCATCATCATCACCATCATCATCATCATAATCTTTCTCATACTCTCTCTTTCCAAATATTACAATCCTCTTCCTCCACCCTCATTTCATAGCCCCCTCCCCTCTATCTCGATCGCTAATTGCTTGCCGTTTCTGTATAAATCAAACACACTGTATTAAAAAAGACAAGCGTTATAAATATGCGTATGAAACTGTATAGTATCTCCAAGCACAACTTTTAATTTTAGACAGTTCATTATCGCAGCAGGAGAATGTATCACAAATAGTGTTCACGAGAAAAGGCTGGGGGGGGGGGGGGGGGAAATTTGTCATTTCACTCATATCTGATTTGATTCGATGTCAAATTGTAATGCCTTTTTTGCTCTCAGTGCAAAATATTCTAACACAAACTTTTCTTGATTAGCAACGTGTGATGGGCATGACATAGTTAATTGTCATTCTAAATCTTGTTCAGATATATCATGATGCGGCAACACCGTGGCGTTGTTTATGCTGATGTCGAGTGTAATATGCTTCACATTTCTGTTTCTTATAACACAGAGCTCGGTGAAGACGTGCAGGATCTGGTTTGTATACAGTTACCATTTATTTACACATTAAAAAGGGACGGTCTTCGGCGTCATATCTGTGGCATAATTTATTTGTCGTGCAAAACACCCTTCTTCAGGCAAAGATGAAGATGAGAAAACAAATGAAAAGTTAAGTTCTAAAAATGTATATGTTTTATTCCCCCCCATCATTTTATTTGTATTTTTGCATAGATCTACTCGCTTCCATTCACTAGATCAAAACTTCAAAAAAGTTGCATGTTAATTTCAGAGAGTAAAATAAGCCAAGCCAACCAATAAAGCTATGGCTTTCAAATATCTATTTCAGATTGTTTTCCAAGCATGTTACATTCACGTATTCATGGCCTTCCTTTGGAACTGACCAATCAGAAAGCAGGATGAGTAATGACACATCTGAGTTAGTTTTCTCCTGAATTCAAGCTGCTTTGCTGCAATTAAAACTTTATGAATGGATGGTAAATCATAAAAAAAAGAAAACACTGAGGGCATCATTTCACAAAACTATCTTCAGTACCAGTTCAGCAACATCCCATCGAAATGTGCTGGAACAAGCGTTTCAATCGGGACGTTGATGAGCTTGTACTTGAGCTGTTTTGTGATAAGATGCCTAGTTTCCTAAAAAGTGATGAATTTATCAATTTTATTTTCATGCTCATGCACCAAGATTCTTGAAAGAGCCATAGATAGATAAATTGAATCATATTCTGGTAGTAGGTATCGTGGAGTGGCAGTAAGATATGTTGTTATTAAATGATATATCAATCAAATATTGGATAATGGAACTATAGTTGTGAATATCTAGGTTTAATGCAAATTAATAAAGTGATGTATATGTATGTAAATAGCTTCTTTGTAATGTTGTACTTCATAAAACTGTTGTAGTGAAGTGTGAATAAAAAGACTATTTGATAAAAAGGAATAAACCAAACATCATTTGTGTGGTAATTCTCCATTTGGAACAATAACTCTCAACTCGTGACATGCAGGTCACACCACGATGTAGGGTTCCTACGGTCATGGAGAAACGTGGAAAGTCATGACATAAAAAAGTTCTGGAAAATTCATGAAAATAAAGAAGAAAATAGCTTCCAAAGTCATGAAAAGTCATTGATCATGGGTGTGGGTCGTATATGGCTATGGCCTTCCAGTTTGAACTGACAAATGTGAATGCCGCTTGGATGCCGCCACTGGCGTACTGGTGGGGGGGGGGGGGGGCTTGGGGGGCGCCAGCCCCCCCAAATAAAATTGAACCATGACTTATTTTCACAAGTAATGTATAAATGTTCGTGATATCACATGATTTTCTCCATTCCCAAATAGCCAGGGAGAGCATATGTTTTTTATAGTCACTAAGGGCCTTATAGTGGCCACTAACAGTAACACAAATTCATTTTTCAGAAGCTACTGTGCAAAGCACTGTCGGGAGATAACATGCTACCCACCACTCGGGCTGAGCATGCACAGATTTGCGAACGAGCGTTCCATACTTACATCATGTAACACTGCACATATACAGTTAAGGGGCCCAGTGGGGGGAATTGCATTCAGACAAGTATAAGAGTAGAGAACGGTACAACGAATCGTCTTCCTCCTCTAATAATTTAATGAAACGGCAAAGCTTCGCGCGGGAGGGGGGGGGGGGGGAAACTATTTTCAGACTAGGATTAAGAGTCGAGAACGGTACAACGAATCGTCTTTATCTTTCTCTAATAATTAATGAAACGCGAAAATGATTTTAGACAAGGATTAAGAGTAATAATTAAATGAAACGACAAAGCTTCCGCGCTTCGCGTGGGAGGGGGGAACTGAATTCAGACAAAGACACAATAAAACGATTCGTCTTCTTTCTCTAATAATTTAATGAAACTTGAAAGCTTCCGCGTTTCGCGCGGGATGGGCGAAAATGTATTCAGACAAGGATTAATAGTATTAATTTATTGAAATTCTGTGTGCCCATGCCTTGAGTCATAATGCATGGCAGACCAGAGGATTTTTTTATGTTGGGGACCGGGGTAAAATGCAATAAATTATTGAAAATTTATTGCATTTTGTGCATTTTTTTTAATTTATGGAAACTGCCCCCTACCCTAGCCCCCGCTGCGTACAGTCATGGTTCAGTGACAAAACAATGGCCTCGTAACTGTGAGGCCCCAGGATCAAAACCGTGTTGATGTGCTATATTAGTGCCATTTTGTAGGGCAATCATCCTCATTACTGTCATTTATGACTTGAGAGCGTAGGTCCCCTAGTTAATAAGCATAGTAGCATACACATGCTTTAGCAGTCACGCAAAATACACATTGGCAAGTTATTATTCAATAAAATCTAAGAATGTATACTATTATCTATATCTATTATTTTTAAATAATTTTTAAAATAATTCCATAAATTGGGGTAAAACTAAAATATTCCACCTTTATGAGCGACAGTGTACTTGAACATCTCTACAGCCTCCCCTATTTCTCTCCTTCTTCCCTCTTACTGGTACATACTGGCTGTAACGAGATGAGTCAATGTATCCTGAAGTCAACAGTGAAATAGCGCCACCTTGTGGTAGACTTGTAACAGTGAAAATACATGTAGTAAATTAAGAGCTTTGATAGCGCTCTCTTAGAGCACATAACCTGGTTGTAACTATTGTCATTTTAAGCCTCCTAAGTATAACTAGTATGTAACTCCTGTATTAAGGATATGATATTTACACTGGCTATCCATCTCTAATCTCTACATCTCCACCTCTCGTATCATATGCTCTAAACCTCCCCTTTCTTCTCTCATTCACTGTAAATTGATACCCCCTCTATCTCTTTCCCTACACATCTATACATCCTCTTCCCTCCCTCTACCTCCCACTCTCATGCACCTCATCTCTCTCTCTCTCCCTTCCTCCCTTGATCCTCCCCCTCACTCTCTTCCCTCCCTCTATCTTCCACTCTCATCTCTCCCTCTCCCGTCCTCCCCTTCCTCCCACCCACTCTCCCTCAGGATTCAAACCTTACTAATAAATACTAAATTCAGATTCAGAATAAGAAATACAAGAAATACTTTAATCTTTGGCACATACTCCGTACACATAAACATGGTAAGCACAAACATGATTGTTATGAACATATTTCAGATGTAATGAAATTTCCATTTCAGTTAATTTGGTATTCTTTGCATATATCATAAGTACAAGGTTGTAAACTTGAAAACTATAAGATCAAACGATAAGGCCTTCAGCATAAGGTACACAAAACTCGGTACACATCTAATCAGAGGCCCGATAGTTAAAATGAACGGAAGAAAAACAACAACAATCCTATTAAGTACTGGAATAATCCCTGAATTAAATATAAATATCACTCATTCTGTCAACTTTTATCTTCAGGAAGATAGACAAATTCTATTTCTGTTTATAGTATATACAACGCATAATGCATTCAAAATTTGGTACACATCTACTGATAGTTAAAAATGGAAGAAGATGAAGAAAAAACAAAAACATCAAGTACTGAAAAAATCCCTGAATTGTAGATGTACATACATGTAGAGTTGGGCCAGATAGAAACTACTTCACTCATTCCTGCCAAATTTTCACTTCAGGAAATTAGACAAATTTTGTCTCTGTTTATAGCATATACAAAGCATATGGCACACAAAACTTGGTACACATCTACTGATAGTTGAAATAGAAGAAGACAAAGAAAAACAAACATTATCAAGTACTGGAATAATCCTTGAATTGTATATATATATATACATGTAGAGTTGGGCCAGATATACATTATCACAGCTTCACTCATTCCTGTCAACTTTTCACTCCAGGAAGATAAACAAATTTTGTCTCTATTTATAGTATATACAAAGCATAAGGCACACAAACTCGTGGAAGAAGACAAAGAAAAAACAAAAACATTATCAAGTACATACTGTACATGTCCAGTTGGGCATGATATACATGATCACAACTTCACTCATTCCTGTCAACTTTTCACTTCAGGAAAATAGACGAATATGGTCTCTGTTTAATATATATAGTATATACATCACTAATCACTCTGAGATGAGTGACTCATAATAGGAATGAGTGCAGTGGAGAAAATCTGTGTAAAATGAATTTCTTTCGGGCCCAACTGTGTATCCTCAACTTGTGTGAACCTGAACAAAATGCATGCAATTAACTACAATATGGTACTGTAAATACTACATAAAATAACAATTACAATACAAAACAACCTCATAGTCAATATTGCATACTGGGGCTTCTTTCATTTTCAACCAAACAGGATAGCATATTTAAATAATAAGCACATACATGTATGTTTGAAATTATGGTATTTTATTGCTAACAATAATATGCTTAAGGCATGTCCAAATTTAGTAAAACGGAATAATCGTAATAATTATATCTATCTGTCGGCCTCACAAGCAAATATCCTTCAATTAAAGTCAACTATTTATAATGATATGTGTTCCAGGCTTCTTGTGAAGGACACACAATTTACTAATACCGAAATTCTGTATTCCACTAATACAGTTAAACCTGAAAATTTAGACCTCAAACTTTGTTAATAATACTATAATATTCAAGATTTATATAGCGATTGAAACATATATGATGTCTCTAAGTGCTTTAAACAAATGTCATTACTCTGGTCATAAATTTTAGGCTTGCCTGCACACAATGTAACAACATTCTCCACTCTCTGGGGAGAAATTCAGCCAGGTGTCATTTCAAGGTTCCTTTGTTAAACCTGCGATTTTGAATAAAAGCCTAAACACAGTGTCACGTTTAAGAGTTCATATTGCCCCAGTTGGAAGCTTCACATGAATACTCTATATACTTCACCAAATCTCCGACCTCTGCATTACCACCAGTCCTTGTCTTCCACTGTGCCAAGCAATCCCTCGTAGCTCTCTGGTAGTCCATGTTAAACCTGGCTAGGATGAAGTTGGCTTCGTAGTATCCGATGCAAAGATGTGTACATAGCGTTGCGTAAGACCTGGGAGGCATGTGTTTCGATAATGTGTTAAGTATTCTATCTGATTCCAGATCAATCCTGTGGAATGAAAGAAGAATTAATACAATCTTTGCAACCTGATGATGTCCCTTTATATTTATGAATGTCAAATTTGACAGACATGAGTGCTACTCTAAAATCAACTGTTATCATTATTGTCATTATCATTATTATTATTAGTAATATCATGATCATAATTTATCATCAATATCATCAGATATCACTATTATTATTATCATTATCATCAGTTATTATCAATAATATTATTATCATTATTATTGTCATTATTATTATTATTATTACTATTATTATTAATCCATGATTGTTATAGTGGAGTAAAAAAAACAAAAAACATAATTTTACCATAAAGTTACACCAAAAAAAATTCTACAAATTATGCCCCCTTTTAAAAAATAGAAATGGGTACAACAAAGCCTTTATTTTTTGCTTATCGAGCACACATTCACACAATGTAGCCTACTTTCACGAACACAGGTACATTCTAATTCACATGTTTGCTAACATCATGGGGGGGGGGGGGGATTAGGACAATTACAATCATCGTGAAGGTCTGTGTTTAACATTATGTATTATTATAAAGTTCTGTATATGTATGTAAATAGCTCTTTTTGTGAAATAACATAGATGCGCACGCTGTTTAAAGTAGTTATTTGTACATCTGTTGTAAAGTGTGTATAAAAAGCCTATTTGAAAAAAAGTAACAAACCCAACATCCTTTGTGTGGTAATTTTGTACTTGAAGCCATTACACTCAGCTCATCCAGTAGTATCTTTTGACATGTAGATTACAACCTCCGTATCCATGGCATTAAGGAGCGCCCTCAGGAGTCTACGGATGATGCCATCTGTCGGTTGGCTGATCAGCTGGGGTTTGCGATCACTCCAGCTGACATTGACCGCTCCTACCGCACATCACCTGGAGGCGGCAACGGTGCAGCAGTGGACCGGTCGAAGGATCGGCCCATAGTTGTACAGTTCGGCGCCTACCGCACAAAAATCAACTTTACTCAAGCCCGTTCCAAGCTCAAGGGAACGGGTATATATATAAATGAGGATCTGATTGCAACAAATCAGAAACTTTTTCACAAGGTGCGTCACTCGGAGAAAGTCTTGAGGGCGTGGAGCATCGATGGCCGCATATTTGCTGGCATCAAGGACTCACATGGTGGTTTCATCAAGAAACTAGTTACATGTGAGGCAGATATTGCCAAACTATGATCGATAAATCTTGTTCTACACTCGTTTTTCCTATTGCTCTGTCTTTTTACGCACTTCTCTTTTCTCTCCTTTCGATCCAACATTGTTCCATACCACATTTCTCATGGCAAATTTCTGGCTGGCAGTAAACATGTTCCAGTGTTCTACTGCTTGTTTCATTTATGTTTATCTTTTCCGCTCTCTATCCCTCTTCCGCTGTTTTTCTTTCTCTTGCCAATTTTTCTCTCACCTTTTCCATGTTTTATCCTGTTCTTCCTATGCCTATAATGCATATTTTTGAGTATACTCAACCGTTTTTGTTGTACATATTTATGTCCTTTTCTTTTGCACGTAGTAGGCTGCCTTTCTATATCAATCATTGTCAATCATATTGCACTCTATACATGTATGAATCTTTAAATGATGATCACAAATGATGATGTAATACGCAACTATTTTGAATCTAGCGCAGACTCGTTAGAGTATGATCTTGGTGAAGGCAATGACGCTGTCATGAGTCACTGTAGTTATTGTACAGAAAGCCAATTCTCTCAAAAGATTGGTAATTCTGGTGATAACGAGCTTTCTTTTCTTCATTTTAATGTTCGTAGTATGCAAGCAAACTTTGATAAATTAAATGTATTTTTGCGGAACATGTGCTACAGTTCTATGGTTATAGGAATCTCTGAAACTTGGTTATCAAGTGAAATTGAAGGAAATGTATTTTCTCTTCCAGGAAGTAATATAATTATGAATAATCGACAAGATAGGAGGGGAGGAGGTGTCGCATTGTATGTCCCCACACTGTTGAATTACCGAGTTTTAAATGAAGTTAATGTAATGAATGAATTAATGGAAAGTGTTTTTGTAGAATTGTTTTTTCCGGGTAGACGAAATGTTATAATTGGGGTCGTTTATAGACCACCCCAAGGTAATGTGAATTTGTTTATAAATGAAATGCAAACTATGTTATCAAATTCAATATTTTTACATAAAACAGTCTTTGTCATGGGTGATTATAATGTTAATCTTCTTCAGCACGATGTGAATGCATACGAGTCGTTTGTGACTTTTTAAACATGTTTATATCTTTCTCTTTATTGCCCTTAATTACTAAACCTACCAGAGTTACAGACACTTCTTCTACTCTCATTGATAACATTTTTAGTAATGTACGACCTTTACCAGATGCGGGTATTATAATTTCTGATTTGTCGGACCACTTTCCAGTATATGCGAGGATGTCTTTTGGTAGGAATATCCGTAATATTTCTAGTAATAGATATGTTCGAAAAAGTAATCCTACCAGTATTGCTAAATTTAGAGATGAGTTGTTAGCAAGTGATTGGAGAGAAGTATTACGTGATTATGATGTTGATAGCTCATATGATAAATTCTTAAATACATTCTTTTTGCTGTATGATAAAAATTTACCTTTACGTAAATGTAATAGTAGAAATCGTAGAACAACCCCTCGATTGCCATGGATTACTAATTCTATATTGAGGTCTATAAACAGGAAAAATAAGTTGTACTATAAGTATAAGATAAGTAAATCTCAATCTTCTCATAGGAAATATACTATTTATCGGAATACTCTTACTTCAATCCTACGTGCTGCTAAGAAGCAGTATTACTGTGCTCAATTTCAGGCGACTCATAATGATATAAAAGGGACATGGAAAGTGATTAGGAATGTTTTTAAGCCAAAGCAGAAAGCGTCTGATGTAAGTAAATTAAACATTGATGGGAATGTAGTTGATGATCCAGAAGTTATTGTAGATAAATTCAATGAATATTTTTGTAATATTGGCCAGAATTTGTCGCGTGTCATTCCAGAGTCTCAAAAAATATTTCGATCCTTTTTAGAAAACCCTAATCATAATAGTTTATTTTTATTGCCAACGAATGTAGGAGAATTATGTGATATTGTACATTCTTTAAAGAATAAGAAAAGTCCAGGTTGTGACTATATAACAAATGAGTTGATAAAAAATGTAATTATTGGTATTGTAGAACCCCTCGTACATATATTTAATCTATCAATGACCACTGGTGTTGTACCCATGAAAATGAAGATTGCAAAGGTTGTGCCCATTTTTAAAAAGGGTGATGCCCTTATTTTGAATAATTATCGTCCTATTTCCTTGTTGAATTCCTTTTCTAAAATTCTTGATAAGCTAATGTATACTCGGACGATAACATTTCTGATAAATGCTAACATTTTGTCAAATTTTCAGTTTGGTTTCCGTGAAAAACACACTACAACTCATGCTATTCTACACTTGGTGGATAAGATATCCAGTGCCTTAGATGCACGCATGCATACAGTTGGTGTCTTCTTAGACTACTCTAAAGCGTTTGATACTGTAAATCATTATATTTTAATAGATAAACTGTGCCATTATGGTGTAAGGGGAATAGCATTAGATTGGTTTAGAAGCTACTTAACAAATAGGAAACAGTTTGTTACTTTGAATGGAATTGATTCAGATATGCGGGACGTCACTTGTGGGGTCCCTCAGGGATCCCTTCTAGGCCCGCTTTTGTTTATTGTGTATATTAACGATTTTCAACTTTCCGCAAAGATGTTATCATTCATTTTATTTGCAGATGACTCAAGTGTATTTTTCTCTCACAGAAATCCACAAACTCTTTTGCAGACTGTAAACTCCGAGTTGACTAATGCGACTTTGTGGATTCATGCAAACAAGTTGTCTTTAAATCTAAAAAAAACTAATTATATGCTCTTTAGTAATTCCCTGAGTATATTGCCTGGCAATGTAATGTTTGATGGTGTTGAGATTGAAAGGGTATCTACATTTAAATTTCTTGGCTTGCATATTGATGAACATTGAAATTGGAAGTACCATATTAGTAAGCTTTGTAAATTATTGTCACGAAATACTGGTGTAATTTATAAATTGAAATCTGTGTTCCCGCTGAATATTTTACGTATGTTGTACGCAACTTTAATTTTGCCATATTTGCACTATGGTGTGCTAGCTTGGGGCAACTCATTCAAATCTCAAATGGATAAATTACTACTGGTACAGAAAAGAGTAATACGAATTGTTTGTAATACTCACTATCTTGCGCATACAGATGTTCTTTTTTATAATAGTGGTGTTTTGAAAGTTGAAGATATTTATCATTTACAACTAGGAGCTCTAATGTATGAATTGAATGCAGGTCTACTGCCAGTAGCCTTGGCTGGAATATTTAAGAAAAATAACCAAGTTCATAGTTATTCCACACGACAGGCGCAAGCATACCACTTACCTCTTGTTAGAACGCAATTTGCCCTTACTACTTTGGGGTCCACTGGACCTAGGTTTTGGAATTCCCTTGAACCAAGAATAGCGCAATCAGTCAGTATTTATGTATTTAAGCGCAAACTGAAGTTACTGTATTTGAGTCGATATCGTCTAGATTTATAGTTGTGATCAATATTTAAGAAAATTATTTGCTATATAGGTCAGCATAATTCTACTCCCGTTTCTAACATCCATTCATCCGTCTGTCTTGTTTAGTTTTTGTCTGTATTTCATTCCTGTTGCTCGTAGTATATTCCTGTTCCAGTTGTTTATAGCCATTATTTAGTACTCAGTAGATTTTATTGTACTTATTTATGTTTAATATTTTATCAGTTGTTTAGTTAGTATTAGTTTTGTAAGCATTTAAACGTACACATTATTCTTATCTGACGAGTTTGTTCTTTTAGGACATACTCATGAACTACTCATGAGGGACCTTAAATCCACAAGCCTTGCTTTCAACCAAGGTCACCTCATCTTTCTATTGTAACGCCATATTCTGTTCACTCTTTTATATTCATGTCATATTTGTAATGTGTGTTATGAAAGAAAGATAAATAAACTTGAAACTTGAAACTTGAAACTATATGCAGGGTTCCAACGGTCATGGAAAAACGTGGAAATAGTCATGAAAAAAAGACTTTTTCTTGAAAATCGTTGAAAATGAAACAAATATCCCAAAGTCGTGGAATGTCATGGAAATTGATCGTGGGTGTGGGGTGTATGTGGCAATATCAGCCTTCAGATTAGAACGAACAAATGTGAGTGCCGCTTGGATGCCGCAATGAACCCACACCACAATAGTACTTATCTGATCCGAAAAAGGCGAAGTGGATCATGAAAAATTGTGGAATTTGGTTCTCAAATTTCATTAAAAAACTACCCTCTCTTTGCAATGGCATATCTTCCACTTCACTATACCACTGCATGTACCCCTACCCCAAACCTCTATCATACATTCTAAATCTCTCCTTTCTCTCGTTTGCTTGCTCTATTTCTCACCTCTCTTCCCCTAACACCCCCCCCCCTCTCATACACTCCAAGATTTTGATCTCCTTTCTCTCCTTCCTCTTACTGATACATATTGGCCATCTATCTCTACATCCCTAATTATGATCTATATCTCTCCTTTATATTTCTTGCTCACTGTATATCTCTCCCTCCCTCTTCCCCCCCTCCCATGCACCCTCATCTCTCTCTCCCTCCGTTTCTTCTCCATTTCCTCCCTCCATCGCCACTCACATGCACCCTCATCTCTCTCCCTTCCCTCCCTGCCTCCCTTCCCTGCCTCCCTCTCTGGATTAAAACCTTACGAATAATTCATAAATTCAGACTTGGAATAAGAAATACAACAAATAATTTAATCTTTGACATATACTCTGTACACATAAACATGGTATGCACAAAATGTTTGTTATGAACATATTTCAGATGTAATAACATTTCAATTTTAGTTAATTTGGAATCCTTTGCATATCATAAATACAAGGCTGTACACTTACAAACCATAAGGTCATATGATGGTCATATGATTTGGACTACAGTGATCAGATTTTCTTCTTGAAATTGGAAACATTCTTTTATTGCTACATTGTTCGCATTAAAATCATGTATCTTCAAAGAATATTGATTTATACACTGATGAGAGGTATGGCGTACAGTAAACACACACTGGTATGCCAGTTTGTATTGAAAAATTGTGATTTTGGCAAATTCAACATGTCACAGAGTTCAGGATTTCAATGCATATTTCCCTCCTATACAAGAAGCTCTTAGCAGCAAGGCTAATATTAAATCACATGACCACTTTGTTCATATATACATGCAGGCCTCCAGCATGAGGCACACAAAACGTGGTACATCTACTCATAGGCCTGATAGTAAAAATGGAAGAAGGAAAATACAACACCACTATTAAGTACTGGAATAATCCTTGAATTGTGATATGTACATACATGTACTTGGTCCACATATACAGTATCACAACTTCACCCATTCCTGCCAACTTTTCACTTCAGGAAGATAGACAATTTGTTGTCGTTTATAGTATATACAAAGCATAAGGCACACAAAACTTGGTACACATCTACTGATAGCTAAAATGGAATGATACAAAGAAAAACAAAAACATTATCAAGTACTGGAATAATCCCTGAATTGTAGATGTACAAACATGTAGTTGGACCAGATATACATTATCACAACTTCCCTCATTCCTGCCAAATTTTCACTTCAGGAAGATAGACAAAATGTTTGTGTCTGTTTATAGTATATACAAAATCATAAGGCACACAAAACTTGGTACACATCTACTGATAGCTAAAATGGAATAATACAAAGTAACACAAAACATTATCAAGTATTGGAATAATTCCCAAATTGTAGAGTTGGGCCAGATATATATTATCACAGTTTCACTCATTCCTGCCAAATGTTCACTTCAGGAAGATATGACAAAATTTGTCTCTGTTTATACAAAATCATAAGGCACACAAAACTTGGTACTCATCTAAAGTAGTTAAAAATGGAAGACGAAGAAAAACAAAAACATTATCAAGTACTGGAATAATCCTTGAATTGCATATATACATACATGTAGAGTTGGGCCAGATATACATTATCACAGCTTCACTCATTCCTGTCAACTTTTCACTTCAGGAAGATAAACAAATTTTGTCTCTATTTATAGTATATACAAAGCATAAGGCACACAAACTCGTGGAAGAAGACAAAGAAAAAACAAAAACATTATCAAGTACATACTGCACATGTCCAGTTGGGCATGATATACATGATCACAACTTCACTCATTCCTGTCAACTTTTCACTTCAGGAAGATAGACGAATATGGTCTCTGTTTAATATATATAGTATATACATCACTAATCACTCTGAGATGAGTGACTCCTGATAGGAATGAGTGCAGTGGAGAAAATCTGTGTAAAATGAGTTTCTTTAGGGAGCCAACTTTGTATCCTCAACTTGTGTGAACCTGAACAAAATGCATGCAATTAACTACAATATGGTACTGTAAATACTACATAAAATAACAATTACAATACAAAACAACCTCATAGTCAATATTGCATACTGGGGCTTCTTTCATTTTCAACCAAACAGGATAGCATATTTAAATAATAAGCACATACATGTTTGTTTGAAATTATGGTATTTTATTGCTAACAATAATATCCAAATTTAGTAAAACGGAATAATTGTAATATATCTATCTGTCAGCCACACAAGGAAATATCCTTCAATTAAAGTCAACTATTTAAAATGATATGTGTTCCAGGCTTCTTGTAAAGGACACAACATTTCACAAATACCAAAATTCTGTATTCCACTAATATAGTTAAACCTGAGCATGGGTCTCAAAAAAGAATGAAAAATTTAGACCTCGAACTTTGTTAATAATACTATAATATTCTAGATTTATATAGCGATTGAAACATATATATATATATATGATGTCTCTAAGTGCTTTAAAGGTAAAGACCAGTATTGGAAACGCCCCAATTTCAAAAAATGAAATGGAAGCTCTTATTACCAATCATGTGAAAGAATATGTATTGACTAATATATGATAACAAATTTGCAGGGAAACCGCCTACTAATTGATATATTTGGTAAATTAGTTTATCCATGGTCTCTGAGAGATAAACGCACGTGTCCAGCAGTTGTGCGTATAGTCCCATATACATCTTTCTGTGTACAGTGCTTGCAACTTTACAAAGACTGGGCCAAATTTCTTATCATTTTGATGATTCTAGAACCTTGCAGTACACACCAATACTTATATGCTAGATGATCAACCTTTTCTGATCGATTCCACAACGTTTCTTTCACAATGCAATCGCATGACCATAACTGGTCTTTACCTTTAAAGAAATTTCAATACTCTGGTCATCTATTTTAGGCTTGCCTGCACCCAATGTAACAACATTCTCCACTCTCTGGGGAGAATTTCAGCCAGGTGTCATTTCAAGGTTCCTTTGTTAAACCTTTCCTTTGTTAAACCTGCGATTTTGAATAAAAGCCTAAACACAGTGTCACGTTTAAGAGTCCATATTGCCCCAGTTGGAAGCTTCGCATGATCACTCTATATATTTCACTAAATCTCCAACCTCTGCATCCACAAGGATGGCCTTAAGCTGGGCCATATTACCACCTGTCCTTGTCTTCCACTGTGCCAAGCAATCCCTCGTAGCTCTCTGGTAGTCCATGTTAAACCTGGCTAGGATGAAGTTGGCTTCGTCGTATCCGATGCCAAGATGTGTGCATAGCGTTGCGTAAGTCCCGGGAGGCATGTGTTTCGATAGTGTGTTAAGTATTCTATCTGATTCCAGATCAATCCTGAGGAATGAAAGAAGGATTAATACAATCTTTGCAACCTCATGATGTCCCTTTATATTTATGAATGTCAAATTTGACAGACATGAGTGCTACTCTAAAATCAACTGTTATCATTATTGTCATTAGCATTATTATCCATATAATAATACGCTAAGGCGTCGAGGGGGGTATCCGGGCTCCATTTTACGGCGCCCAAATCTCCCCTCCCGCCCGCCCCCGGGCGCCGCCGGGCGGTCCCGCGGACGGACGGGGTTTCAATCTACGGAATTGGCCACGTCCCGGCCCGGTGCGACGTCCCGGTCGTCGTCGACGTCGTCGATGCGTCCGCACGTCCCACTTATCCGTCGCGAATTTCATGCTTTAGCATGAAACGGAAGTGGACGAGCGGTCTGAGGCGCCGGTTGCGTTCGATTCGCCGGCAGCTCTTGCACTTTTTGCACGCACGGGTTCGATCCCGCCTCCGTCGCAAGTTTTTTTTTCTTCCCCGTGTTTGTTTTGTATATTTTAGATGTTGTAATCTTTACCATTTTTTAAATTTTAATGAAAATGTAGACCTCATATTTAAAATTTAAATGTGTTGAGTCTTTATTTGATATTTATTGGCTTATTTCATGATATCTAGGCCTAAAATCAGCGCAACAGATGTCTTCCCATATCCACGTCCAAACTTAGAGACCTATTTCCATCATTATTGCCGGGATTTTTATATAGTTTTCGTGAGTGGAGGTATGAAATCAAAGCTTATTTTGTGATTATTCTGGCCATGTTTACTCAGTTTTGATTATCATTTATTAAAGGAAAGTTTTCACAAGAAAATCAGAGAAAAACATCGTTCAGTTTCAAGAGCTCTGCCGTACGCATTCAGTGTGTAGTGCAGTGCAGCTGCGCTGGCTGCTCGACTGAGCTGAGTGAGTGAGCTAGCTATTCAGAGTCGAAGAGACTATGAAGGGCCAAACATGCCAATATTCGACAACTATACGCTATATTATGTATCCATCCATGCGACTATTTATGTCTATCCATTCATTGAAGTAGGCCTACACGTGAACACAACAGCGGGCAGGCCGAAGTGCCATAAGATCGTTGGGGGGGGGGGGGCAAAATATTTTTGTTTGCATCTTACATGTTACAAAAAAAATCTGCATCTTACATGTTACATGCAGACCCCACAAAACATTTTTCAAAGTGTGGGGGGGGGGGGGGGGGGGGTCAGGTAGATCGAAGCGAGTAGAGTGTAGGCGTGGGGTCCACGGGTTGTGGGGGGGGGGGCGAGGGGGATCAGGTAGATCGAAGCGAGTTGAGTGTAGGCGTGGGGTCCACGGGTTTCAAGGGGCCATAAACCCCCGAAAGCTCGGGGGGTTTAGGCGTTTAGATAGGGTCAGATGAGCATATTTTTAATACTTTATTTGGCGTGGGGTCAATACGTAGAGTTGCGTAGTGTTGCGTACCAACTACGCTGGCCTTCGTTACTATATGCTAGGGGACGGAAAGGGGTACGCAAGATGAACGAAAACAATTCAACATGTTTAATTTTTTTCGCGTACTTTCGGCGTAGAAACTTGACGCAGAAAGTACGCCTTTTTACGCAACACTACGCTACATGACTACGCAACAGTACGCTACCCTACGCCAGATTGACAAAGCAGTAAAAGCTTTCCACACAGTAAGCAACCATAAGCAAACCTGTACGCCAGCCTACGCATAACCTACGCAGGGACTATTTTCCCATTAATACGCAGCCTAATTTCTGCGTAGTCGGTACGCCACACTACGGAACTCTACGCAGTTCCAGTGGCTTAAAGAATAACTACCGGTATAGTTGGATCGTTTTTTTTTTTTATATAAGGCCAAATTAAAAAAAAAACATGTTTAGCGTCCTGTTTTTTCGAAAAATGGGAAGGAGGCCCTTTTTTTCTTTTTTTTTCTTTCAAAATGGCCGCTCCGTACATTTTCCCTGACATTCAGCCTATTTTTCAAGATGGCGGCCGACAATTTTTTTTTTCTTTTTTAAAATCAGAAATACATTTTAGCAGTGCTTTTCATGTTTTTTTTCTTTCAAAAAAAAAAAATGAATAAAAAAAAAAAAATAAATAAATAAAAAGAAAATAGGAGGCGGCCCCCAAAAAGGAAGCAGGCGGGAACACTGTTTTTTTTCTTTCAAAAATAAAAAAAATAAAAAAATAAAATATTCAAAAAAAAAGCGGGCGGGGACGCTAAACATGTATATTTTTTTAATGGCCTGAATGGCAAATAAAGTTCTTGGTGGTTTTAATTTAATTTAGACAGTCTCTATATATCTATTTACACCCCCCGCCCCCCTCTAGAATCCCGCGGATTTCCGCGGGTCCTGCTAGTCTATATAATAATACTCTAAGGCGTCGAGGGGGGTATCTGGGGTCCATTTTACAGCGCCCAAATCTCCCCTCCCGCCCGCCCCCGGTCGCCGCCGGGCGGTCCCGCGGACGGACGGCGTTTTAATCTACCCATTTGGCCACGTCCCCGTTCGAACTTCGGTCGCGGTCGCCGTCGACGTCGATAAAGGCGGTTTCGGGGTCCCGGGGAGGACGGGCGGACGAGGGCACGGCGGGCGTCGCGGATTGCAAGGAGGCGACGAACCCGCGAGAGCGAGTCGGCAAGGCGTGCATCCGCCCTCTGTGCAATCAACAAAGAGACACACAGCGGACGAGAATCTACTCTGTCAATGGATGTAGCACATCACGTAGTAACGGTTGTGGCTTACCCCGAGTTTAGGCCTCTTGCTATAGGATACGCTTTGTAGCATGTAAGAGAAATACACATTAACAGATGACTCACCCGGGTGAGGGGATGTAAGAAATGCACGCTCTCACGGGTTGGGCTTACCCGTGTTATGCGTCTTTTTGTATGATATGCTTTGTAGGCCAGCCGGACCTGCTGCGTGTACGAACGTACGTGTATAATGTATGCGATGATTCTACGCTCACCGTCACACGCACAGCTCAGTCGCTTCGTCTTTGATTCTATGATGATTGCCGTGATTTATATATAGTTTACGTGAATAGAGGTATGCAAGCAGGGTTACTTTGGTATTATCCTGTTCATGTTTACTGAATATTGAAAATCATTCTTCAAAGTAAAGTTTTCACAAGAAATTCATCGTAACTGACAGTTCAGTTGCAAGCTAGCTGCCATGAGGCACGGGCAGTGCAGTGCGCCACTGCTGGCGAGCACTGTCGGAACTGTGACTGTGTGTGAGGTGAGGTGAGCTGAGCTGAGCTATTATAGAGTAGACTCGACAACATTTTGAAATTGCTCTTATTGCCCCTATATTTCAATATAGTTTCGTGACTATAGAGGTATGAAACCTGAGCTGAGATTGTGATTATTCTGTCCATGTATAGTTGTATGCTAAATTTCGATAATCATTTTTCAAAGTAAAGTTTTCACAAGAAAATCAGACGGTCGTTTAAAAACATAGCCATTGGCATTGTCTATAGCTGGATAGAATACTTTTACTATGATACAGTTCCTTCATCAAATCAATGCATTAAAACGGGTATTACGGTGCGTCATTCATGGTCAAACAGCGTTATAAAAATCGTCTAGATTCTAGGCCTAGACCTTATATAGACTATATAGATCTATGTGATGTAGTAGAAATAGGATGTGATGTTTAATGGAAAAAATTAATCAGTAATCATAGCTATCTCTAGCCCTTTTCTTCTCCAGAACTCTGGGGCTTAAAACCGGCCGTAATTGCAGCAGATGCTGTATTTTCTGAGCTGAAGTGAATTTTTATTTTTTTAAATTGAACCGGTTGATATATTTCATTGACGTTTCTTACAGGTATTCGGACAATGATCCCGGTCAACTTGATACCTCATTCATGAATAACGGAGCTGTATTTCTTGCGTACGCGAAGAAAATGACCGAAAAGAAGCTCGCCACGCAAACACAGAAATTTATGAATATCAATCAATATTTTTAATTAAAATATAATAGGTCTATTTTAAATTTAAATCAGTCAAGTCTTTATTTGATATTTATTAGCTTATTTTTAATTAAAATATAATATTTTAAATTTAAATCAGTCAAGTCTTAATTTGATATTTATTAGCTTATTTCATGATGAAATCAATTATAAATACAATTGTAAATAGAATTGTTATATATGTCAATCTTTACGGAAGCTAAAGGCTGAAAAGTTTGATGCCGCGGACGAACGCAAAATGGCTGCCTCAGCAAAGAGCGCCCGTTTAACGGGCGCAAACAGCTAGTCTATATTACTAATACGCAAAATCGCCGCGGGGGGTCCAACACGGGCCAAAACGGTTCCTCAAAAACGTCTTTCCCCGACCCCGCCCGCCTCCGCCGTGGCGCGGGGAGGGCGGCACAATTCCACGAGGCCTGTCTCCCGTAACCCGCGTGCCACGTCGACCCCGCGATCGACGTCCATGCCGTTAAACGCGGTTTCGGGGCGGCCGGGGAGGACGGGCGGACGAGAGCACGGCGGGCGTCGCGGATTGCGAGGAGGCGACGAACCCGCGAGAGCGAGTCGGCAAGGCGTGCACCCGCCCTCTGTCTAATTATCAAAGAGAGACGAAGAGATACACGATGGACGAGAATCCACTCGCGTCAACGGGTGTAGCAAGTCTCATTGTAAAGGCTGCGGCATATCCCGAGTAAGGCCTCTTGCTATAGGATTCGCTTTGTAGCATGTAAGAGAAATAAACATCAACAGACGACTCACTCGGGTGATGGGATGTAGCCAATATGTACGCTCAACGGGTTGAGCTTACCCGTGTTATGGGTCTTTCTATAGGATATGCTTTGTAGGCCAGGCGCCCACAGTGTACGTGTATTACACGCTCTCAGGTCACACACATGCACACACCACAGTCGATTCGAGTCGAGGCGATTGCGACAACTGGCGCAAACCATGGACCTATTTTCACGTAAAATCTTTACTCTGAAAATAATTATACAAATTCTGTGATCTATGCCAACATAATCATAGTCCA